ACACATATAAATAATGAGTTTATTTTTTTGACAGTGAAAACAGATGTGTTAAATTAGGTTCCCTGATTGTGTGTATTAATGTATGGCACTGCTGAGTCCTGAAATGGAGCAGAACAACTACATGAAAATACACTCGGTTGTCTTTCCTCCAACCCAGTGCTGCCAATTAATAGAGTTATGGAAATTAAATGCAGAAACTTTTATATCCATCTTTGTGATTTTTTTTTCTATCTAGCATCTTGTTTTTCAAGTCATTAGAACTATATAGTGTTTGTAAAGCACTGTCAGTTTGCAAAGCAGTTGTTTAAAAATTGTGTCTATTGACTCTTCACAATACCGGTAGTAAGAAGGTGGTTCCCTTTGCCCTTTTAATAGATGGGGAACTGATGCAGGGAGGAAAAGTGACTTGCTCAGGATAGCAAAGGAGGTTGGGCATGGTGAGACAGAGAACTCGGAAATTCCTGCCTTCAGGACACTACAGTTTGTTCTTTGTACACTGAGCAGGACGGCTGCTTTGGCGATGTAGTGTGGTGATGCTGTGACAGTGGCCTCCAAACTGTACTGTAACAGGAACCAGCAAAGGTTTCTGCATACAGAGGCCCAGAAGGACAGACTCCAATGGCAAGTTAATGGTCTCCTGGTGTTAAATCAAAACAGTGATTCTTATTCTACAAAGCAAGACAGATAGCGTTTGCTGTTTGAAGGTGTTTCTCCCCATCAAATTAGATAACTACTGCAGCTTGCACTGAGTGGCAAATGTGAACTTCGGCTTCACTGTAGCGCTACACAAATACTGGCTTTATATATAAATTATACTGGGTATTATGGTGAATCAATGATACCTTAGCTGTAAGCCTACATGCTATGCTTTTGTGAAGAAGTGGTTTTTTCATGCTCCCCGCCCCCCGCTTTTACTCACGAACAAGGCCCAGGTGCTTAGATGCTGGCTGGCTGCATCAGACATTTATGATGCCAGATATTATGACTGACAATATATTATATTGCTGTTATGGAAGTAGGAGTGTTTCAAATTATTTTTACATTGAAATGCTGATCGTTAGCACTTAGTGTTTTATATCTTCAGATCACTTTAGAACAATGAAATAAATAGTGTTTGAACTATTCTCAAATAGTAGATGGGGGGGAGGTTCTGCGTATGGCTATTTACTGAGACGAACTTGTGACAGAGGCAAAGGATTCGTCACAGCCCAGGTGGATTTTTCTTTTCAAAGTTTTTTAATTCTAAATGGAAATGAGATGGTTATCTAAATCTATGCTTTCTCATTTAAAAAGCTCATTATTTCAGTCTGCAGGACAAAGCAGAGGCTGTCTCCGCTCGCCTGTGTCTTAGCCGAACACAGCTAGTGCAGGCCACAGGCCAGCACTGGACTGGGAGGGACCTTCTGGACCCACTCAGAAAGGCTTTGCTGTTGCTGTAGGCACCATCGCTTACAACCTTTCTTAAGCTTTATAAGCAACTTCTTAAATTTTGGGTTTTTTTTTTTTTCAGATCTTGATAGAAAAAGGGTTAATAGGGTTGAGAACACTTTTTTTTTTCCTAACCAGTATTTATCCTCAATTGGTTGTATGCTGTTTTCTCCTTGTGGTTATAGTTATGATTAGCTTGAATGGTCTTTACCTTCTTATACGGTTAAAGACATCAATTATAATTGTGTCTCAGATTAAATAAATCAGCTTTCCTAGTCTAATCTTGCAGCCTGGTCTCTCCTTTATTGATACCATCTTGGTAGCTTTTCTCAACATCTGTCTACTGCAATTCCAATTAATTATCTTTAACATTCGGTGTCATAACTGTATACAGTTGTCTAGATAAGAGCCCACTAGGCCTTGCACAATGGCTTGAATACGTCTCTCTCAGTTGGAAATGTGTCTCCTGGTGCACGCTGAGCTCTCATAGCTGTATCATATTGACTCTGAGTCATCGTCTGACAGACCGCTAGCCAAGGTCCTTTTATTATCAATTAACAATAAATATAGCAGACTATGCCCTTCAGTCTTCAAGTACATGCGCTAGTATTTGTACTATAAAATTTCATCCCATTCAAATTACTTCAATCTTCAAAAATCTTCGTGGGGGTATGTGGGGGTGGGGGTGGGGGTGTGTAGCGTGATCATTTTCTAGACTGATGGATAGTGCCTCCCAACTTTGCATCAGCCCCAATTGCCTAATATCTGTGCCACAGTGCTTAATGAAAATGTTAAATGTATTCAGTTACAAGACTGATGCATAAGAAATTCCACTTGCAACTGCCACCCAACCCTTTCTTTTTGGTGTTGCCTTCTTTCCTTTAGCCAGCTGCTTACGCACCTCATAAGCATGCTGCTACTTTCCATTTTCTCCAGCTCAGCCAAGTTTTCCTCACAGCAATGTATCAGATGCTCCAGCTCTATGAGATCTCCACTTGCAAGGTTGTGGTAGCCTAATTCTGACTTTGCTTTTAGTCATGGAAATTTTGCAGACGTGGCTTGTGCATTGCCCTTTTTTTCTACTTGAATCTGTTTTTCCAGTACTGGATTTAAGCTTTTGCAGTTTTACAATAGCAAAACAGTTTTTCTGTTCTACTTCACTAGGGAGGCTGCAGTGAAACCACATCTATAGCTGACACCGCACAAACAGGAAGAGTTTAGCGCTACACTGCCAGTTTGAGCAGATATCAAAACTTTAATTCCCTTACAGTTTAAACTTCTGACCTCTCATAGCTGCATATAAATATTGAGTAGAGCTTAAACTGTTAAATACAACTTAGAGCTAAAGAACTGAACAGCGTAACAGAAAAATAAGATCATACCTTCTTTCCTTATCATATAAACCAGCTTTTAATAATAAAAACTTCTATCACGTTTTCAATGAGAATAACATATACATTTCAACATAAAACAGTGCACAGTGTAAATGCCCTTAGATACTCTTCTACACATCCTTAATGTCTACAATGACTGCATAAATGTGGATCAGGATCCTCATCAGGCCATATAAACTGTTACAGTTCCACTGATGTCAACAGAGCAGATTTAGACAAAGTGAGGATCCCGGCCTATGTGCTCTTTTTATTTTGGGGTGTTCCTACAGTTTTTATTTTGATAATATTACAGTTAATTTTAAGTTGTGGATTCAGTAAAGAACATCCATTTCTTCTTCAAACAGCAAATGGCAAGAATAACTCTTCCAAAATTAACAGGATGATCAGAAAGGGCATTGAAATAACGCTCTGCTGATCTTACTGCAGTACAAAATGGATAATCGAGTAACAAACCCTTGTATCTGAGAGCAGTTTAGTGATGATTTCCATAATTCCCTGCAACAGGTTATTGTAGGTCAGAGGAAGTAGTTAAAAGTAAGAGATTAAACAAAAGCAGTTGCTTCCCCAAAATTATTTCAGTCTGTGAGTGAAAAAAATTAAGCAAGCTTCAGAACAATCTGTGCCCCCTAAACTCGACATCAGCTATTTTGTGCTGATTTGCAGATTAAAAAATTTAAAAGACCTTCACAGCCAAATAGAAAGAATCTAGTTTTAATTCAATATTTGAAACGGATGGGATGTTAATAAAATTAAGCCAGTTAAAAAACAACCAAACCATACAAATAAAAAAAAAAAACCCAAATTTTATTTTCTAGAATATACATCAATGCAAAGCGCTTCTGGATTGCCTGACAATAAACTGCTTTAAATGAGACTGGAGAAATAGCAGAATAGTTTCCTATACACCCTTCTACTTCTGTCACCCGCTACTACTGAAATAGGTTAGGGATGGGTGGTCATGTTAAGGCACTCACTCCAAAAGAACATTATTTCTGTCCTGAGACTGCTGACATGTTGCAATTAGTTTCAGCCAGTAATTTGGAAAAAATTACTGTACTTAGGATAATACTGACTGGATGGAGAACATTTTTCAAACAAGAAAAAATAAAGTACATTATATACATGATTCCTTTTTCCTTTTAACTTAAAAGCATCCCTAATACATCTTAATAACTGTATTAAAGACTACTTAAATATTGAAAGATTTAAATAATGTAGTTTTTTCAGTAAACTGGGAGTAGCTGTATAATTGCCAGCATATTGGTCCCATTTTAAACAATATAATTTTTATTTAAATCTTGTATATATAATAACATGATCCAAAACACATATTCCATTCCACATAAATAAGTATAGTTTTTTCTGACCTGTTTTAAAAACTACATCTGTTCAAATAATCAGATTATAAGACTGTATTTTTCCTTTGTAAAGTTTCCTTTAACATCCGTCATTCCCAGTCTCTCCTCTTACATATTACTGTATTTCCAGAGTACGTAATAGGGTATTAGTAAAAAGAGTTAATCCAAAACCTTAACGCTACAGTAAGTAAAATGAAGTAATGGTAAGATGCACTATGGAATGTATACGCTGCAGCATCGAGAGAGTGGTTCTCACTGGGCTGAAGTGGAAAATGACTCCAGAAGAAATTCTTTGTGTTCGTATCTGAATAAACCATGGATTGTGCTATTCATTGTTTGAAAGTGCAGGTCAGTACATTTAAAAAGTGGTGTTTGGAAGCTACTGCTCAAGGCCACTGACCAAAATTATGCTGGCAATTAAATGGATGCCAGATGCAGTGCAGGGAGAGAGATATACTTCATTCTGGATTTTCTGAACCAATCCATATCTTGAAGTCCACAACTTTTAGGTGGCAGCACAAACAAGTCACCAGTAAAACTTGACATAAAATTGCCATCTTTCCAGGCATCTGGCAAATGGCAGGAATGTCCATCTTAGCTCTGTGGTATTTACTTCAAGAATTTCTTCAATAAGTCAAAGAAATACAAGAATTCCTGCATGTGCTGCAGGATTTCAAAGGCAGATTCTTGGTGCCTGGGTCCAGCAGGTTCATCTCCTACTAAAATGAAGCACAAACTCTTCCTCTCTCGATTCAAAGCCATCAGTGTCAGTTAGGGTGGGTCCTCGGACAGGGCTGCTCTTTGTTGAATGCTTTAATGATGCCATGATGTAGGTCTCTCTCTCACTTCTATAAATCCCCATCTGTAGGTGGCTGGCACAGCCTGTAGAGTCTTAAAGGCAGAGTAAGAGTATGATATTAAATGTCATAATAATGCTAATATAAAGTTATGGCATAGTATGTGAGATTCAAGCTCTCCTTTATCATCCTGCAAGTTTTAGAGGTAATCTGCTATCAAGAATACCACTATGTTTAATTTTCATAGCTGCAAACAAATGTGCTACTTGTGATTTATTAACTAAAACATTTCTAATCATTGTTTTAAAATTTATTTGAGACTTTCTACCACTCTGGTCCAATTTGGTCTTCAGCAGTCCCTTCTCTCTGTTTTCTGCTTCTGTTTTTATCTTTTTAAACCAAGTTTGCCATTTTAAACCAAGTGCCAAGAGGCACTCCCCATAGAGATTGAGACACCGAACAGAAAAAGAACGTATTTGCTTGTTCATATGGTTGTACACACCTTAAAATTGGAGTCTTGCTTTCAGAGAAATTTTTGGAATCACAAGATTGGCAAGTGGGGGGTGGGAGAAAATCTAAGAGCATATTGACTGTCACTCATATGTGATTTTTGTGGTAGACTTTTTGTGTCTTTTTTCTAGAATACATTTGAAGAAACACACAGTAATGGGTCTTTCATAACTTCTTTCAAGACTACTACTACAGAGTTTGACTAACCTAAATGCTAGGAAATGTAATCCTGAGAATTAACCTTAATTTACAAGATAGGCTTTCAACTTTGCTCAGTTTTATTTCATATTATGATGATGAAATCAAGCAGGAAAGTCTGTATCTGAGCTTTATTACCCTGAAATAATCCAAGTAAATAGTCCTAGAATTTGTCACGGCGATTGACAGTGTACACTGAAGCAGAGAAATGCTTCATCCTATGTTTTGTTTGTAAAGCTGTTTCATTTTAAACATAGCGTGCTGCTATGGCCTTAAAAATGGAATTGAAGTAATGAATGGTCAGTAATAAGGCAAAATAACCATTCTGCTAGAATGCTGAAGCATCACACTGGAGACATGGTACAGAAGCATACCTAGACTATTATTTTATTCATTTTTGAAATAACACTTAAAATTAAAAAAAAGTGGGGTGGGGTGGAGAAACATTGCAGATGCCAAATATTTTCCCCTTTATGGTCTCTGTGAAAACAGAGCAAGACCAGACTGGGTTACAGTAAGTATCATTTTGATCTCTAAAGTTTAAAACAACTTCCTCTAAGCAATTCGAGGTGCTTAGAAAAGGGTTGGGAGGGTTCTTTAGACTAGCTGAGAGATCTGTCAATAATGGGTGAATAAAACGTCAGCTTTTTAAGGAAATCTTCTTGGCATTGAAATATTATGCTCTTTGGGGGATTGTAGCACCAGCAAATACATCTGCACTATCTAGAGGGATGGCACAAATGTTACTGATCTTTTCCAGTGCTTATTCTTACAAACCAGAACTGTTTTGCCTTCTTCATGTGAACAACGCCATTAACAAGAATAGAAGCAGAAGTTTCTTTGATAATTTATATGGACTGATGGCACATCTAAATCATGACAATTTGTTCCTACCATTGGGTGAAAAAGCTCTGTTACAGTTTATTAAAGCATATCCTTTTCTATGATATATGAGACTGGAGGAAATAGACTAAAAAGAGATACTTCTCTTAGTAATAAAGGCATTTTTAGTAAATATCCTCTAGAGAAAGATGATGAACATCTCTAGCTTCCATTAGACGCAGCAGGATTCACAAATGTGCACTACTTTTCAAAGTTGTCTTCTAGACAAAAACAGCAGACATAACCCTGGGCAACTGATCCTTTTTTAAAGCTTGATCACTATATGGTTACTCTGACCTGAAGTGCTTTCTCTTAAACCTGCTCTTTCATAAATAACTACACTGTCAAGCTAGTCTAAATATCCCATTGGGCTATAGCCAAAGTATTAGCGTATGAATTATCTTTGCATAGCTGCAGTCAGATTTGCCATTCAGAATTTTTCTTTCTCAGCACTCCAGAGATGGCTGTCAATCATCAGCTTTACTAACTAACTCATAGCAACTGTCCAAAACCAGACCCTTCTCTCCATTCAGCAAAGTCTTATTTAGAAAATTGCAGAAGCCTTTGAAGTTAATGACCTGCCATGTATTAGGAGCGAAGCTCTGCAAGCTGCAGTATGCTTGCTTTAGTACTGTGATAGAGAAGAACAGGTTTTTTTTTCTTTCCTTTTTTCTGCTATTGCCTATTGCTACTAAAGAGACCTTTGGTTATAACAGGAACTGCACAATTGGTACAGGAACATAAAATCAGCACTCGGATAAAATGCACAGTACCTAATCACCTACCGGGGTGCACACTGTGGCATTTGGTCCATCACTTTGAGATTCTTGGCAGAGATTTCAACCCTTGGTCCCTAAGGAAACAGAGAATTTATGGTACTGACAATATCGATAAAGCATCTGATCCTTAGGGGAAAATATTATAATGGGAGTATGGTTTTTATTTGAGAATCCATTAACTACTTTTAGAAGATTTGGAAACCATTGGGTGGATACATTAGTCATCTGTGTTTACTTAAAAGATGGAATTAGTCCCAAAGCACTTTACAAGCACTACTGTCTAGCAGTAGGGAATTTCTGCAATTTAACACTGTGTGCTCAAGACCTTGGTTTGTATATACTGAAATTGCCTTAAATATATTTGATAGCCTCTACTTGCTAACCATCAAGACACACATTTTAAATAACGTACATTGACTAACATATTTTAATTGCTGCATTGGCTGTATACGCATAAGTTAGTTCGTTCCTGCTGAATGTATAGTGTAGCTGTTCGGACATTACTAGATGGTTGGCTATTTGTAAGCACAAAATACAGTGCCAGAGAGAAACAAACTGGTGTTTGTACAGTACTGTTCCTGGAATGAAGATGGTGTCATGCAGTAGACGCACAGGTCCAAATACTTACTTGCTTTCGCATGATGTCTGTAGCTTGCATGATACACTTGGGTAAAAGTCCGTGACTTCGAGCCAGTATGGCTGCCTGCTCCAGGGACACACTCAGTGTACTTCTGGACATGGGAATAAGGAATATTAAATCACAAACCATATTTTAAAACATATAAATATAGATGTATATCTTGCAGGACACTTATCTGTTACATATGACTTCTATTAGCTACTGTTTTTGTATTTACTTCTTAGCTTTTTTACTTACAAACCTATACAATGAGCTCAGTGACCCATTTTCCAATCTGAGTACACCGAGACACAACAATTGTTGGAGTCTCTTACATTGTTACCCCAGGGCTATGTTTTGTTGCTGTTCTGCATCAATTTATACAAAGATATTCACAGATGAATCTATTTTTCACTCGTTAGTGTTGAGCCACTGGAAGAACAGCGGTACGTGTAGAATCAAAGCTTGCATATACCAAGATTATAAAGCTATTGAGAGGCAACTTCCTAGATTTTCAGTGTGTGACTGAAGACGAGGCTGACTGAAATTTATATGCAATGAGCTCACTCAGTCAATTGTACTGGTTAATCCATTAGAACATAAACAAATGCGTTAATTATTTTAAAAAGTGTTTAAAGTCACAACCTACTCTAAAATAAAAATGGCAGTTGATTTGGGTCCTTACAGGACCTGAGGAAGGTTCTCTTCCTCAGTATCTATTTTTCTATTGCTTTGAAAATGAAATATATTGCTCACATTTCTAGAGAGGAAAAAAGCTCTCATCACAGCAGTACCACGTAGGCTTGTTAAATCTCACCTCTGCATCCCTGTGCCACACATAGTAACCTGACAGGCTCCGAGTCGATAACAGAGCTCTGAGGATATAGGCAGCAGCCCAGCTCCTGATGTATAACTGCCGGAATATCCTGACTGGGTGGGTTTGGTATTAATAAAAGACTTCATCAGCCTGCAAAGCTCATCCATTGCATTAATGGGACGAATAAGCTAAACAAAGCAATCAAAAAAAAAAAAAAGTATCAGTGGCGTATTTACTCCTTCATTTATAAAGATGTTTACAACACTTTATCCTATGTCTAAGCACAATACCTTAAATCTGCATGAGAGCAATTGCCACAAAGTAATGACATTTAAAATATATATGAACTTTGGAAGTGAAAAAATACAAACAATGAATGAGCTTTGGGACAATTTTTTGCAAATGATCACAAATAACACAGATAGTTTACAATGTATACTACTATTACAAAGATAGCCTCTGATTTGTCCACTGCAGTAGTATTTATGTCTACCTTTCATGCATAAATTCACACATATCACCTGCCCCGGTAAGACAGACTGCCTTTAAATGAGATGCTGGGAAATATTTTCATGTTGTTTTCTTCTGTAATTGTGAACAAAGCATAAACTGCAAATTGAATGTTTGTTCATTTTCATACATCTGTGGAACAGGAAAATTAATTCCTTCTGTCTAACATCAGATACTTTATTTAGCAGGAGCAGTCAGGGTAATATGGAATCTTACTAGTGCCTAAATTAAAAGGCTTTTTTGTCTGCTCCAGTTTGCCACATTTTCTTCTTCTAGACAAAAGCAATGTAGCCAAGCCTCAGAGAAAATCACATTACTTTTTTAGGGCAGGGAACATTTTTTAAATGACTTTTGGGTCAGGTCTGACAGGCTGACACATGGAGATCCTGGCCCACAACTGCATTTTAAAGACTAACTTATGCAGAAATAAAAACAAGAATAATACCTGGTCAATCTTCACGGCAGTAGTATTGGAATCAGTGGGCAAGTTTGATCTCTCTAAGTAAAATGTCCTGCAAAAAGGCCAGTAAGAACTACATTAGCTGATGCTTCTCATTTCAAACACATATATGTATAACTACTTTTTATAAAACATTTGAGAATACTATGATAGCAGTCTGGTAGTTCAAGATCTGCTTTCTTATTGAAGCGCTTGGACTGCTGCAATCCAATTTACAGAATCTGTACTGAAATATTCTAAAAATCCCTTTCTTATGTAATTTTAGCTCTACTCAAAAATATGATGTCAAATTAGATGGGAATTTGTTCCCATACAGTGCACTACTCCAGAATGAGGTTAACTGTGGGAAGAAAATTAAGAGGTTTCCCACACAGTGAGGATCTCAAAGAAACATATTTGTACAAGCCATGAAATCATTAGGAAAGGGATCTCTCTCCCATTTGTTTTAAGGTCTTTAGCAAAGCGCATTCTCTGGAATGTCATTTAAGGTGAAGGGGAAACATGAAATACCTGAGTTTACGGTAATATTGCTGCACTTTTTCAAGAGAGATACCATTAATTTGCTGTGGAAGTTCTTCTAGAGATGAGCCAGCTGGTTGTGATTGCCCCTCCATACTCTCCAGAGCTGGAGGAGAAAACATTTTATTAAACCTATTCTTTTTTTTTAATTTAATCTACATCATCTAACTGCTCAGCAAATGACTATCAGGTCATGTCAATATTAATTCTATTATTGTATGAATTAATCCATTTGCCTATATGGGGATGTACTGGTAGTATCATAGAGGTAACCATCACAGAAGGTAGTACGATCTCACAGTAATTACTGCCCATTAATATCCCCCTGAAGGAAATGTCCAGTGTTACATTGCAGGATGAATATTTGTTTATTATTTATATTTGCTAGTCAATGTTCCTTATTTTCCAGCCCAAATGATTCTGTCATGATGTATGCTTTTAAAAATACTTGTCTATACCCTGGGAACATAGGAGATACCATACTAGATCAGACTGTTCATCTAGCCCAATATAATGTCTCTGACTATAACCTGGAACTTTATGGGAAGGCACAAAAAAGCCCCAAAGAGGCATATCTTATTCTCATGACTGTGTCTTACTCTAATTTCTAGCACTCCCCAGGTCTTCCTAGAATAAAAGCATCTGCCTCTTAAACATGTTTGCAATTGTTAGCTGCATTATGATAAGAACTTCATGGTCATTCTTTACTTTGAATCTTTTGACATCATCAGTTAGCTTATTTTTCTCAAGAAAGCTTTTTATAGACACCTTTTGTAAAGAGCACCGTGTGTAGTTTCAAGCTTCCTCCATTCTGAAACCGAGAAGGCAGTTTGGAGAAGTAGTAGCTGTCAAGATAAAAGATAACCTTCAAGGCCTGACGACTTCCTTCAATGTGGTAGAAGACATGAGTATCTGGAGAAATAAAGATAAAATACTTGCTGCTTTACCAGAGCAGGAAAAATAAGAAAACACTGCTGTCTGAGTCTGTCAGATTATCTAATGACATTTAGATGAGTACAAGAGTCTGTATTGAGAGAAAGCAGGCTCTGAAAGATTGTACTTACAAAGACATAGCTAGCAAGACCTAACATGATGTTTGATTCTATTGCAATAAGCATAGTTAATAAGTAAAATCCCATCATGTTTCATGACAGCTTAAGTGGAGTAAGTAAGTGGAGAGAGATCTGGCAGGGTGGGATGGGACACAGGAAGGGTGGGGAGGGAAAGTCCTTCAACTTTGGCAGTCTGCTGAATTACAGACATCTGTCAGGAACTGCCCATCATGTCACATCTGTCCACATGCAAAATCACATAGGTGAGGAACACTGGCACAGACCATAGTTCCTAATCACTGACTGTACCACTAGCATCCCGTCCTGTCAGTCCTGCTTTGCTGTGTGTTCACAGTGGAAGCCGAGGGAATGCAACAGTGCTTCAGAGAAGCTGCTCAGTAGTGACATGACATGGACTGACAGATTTATAATCATGGAGGATGTTAATCCATAATACAAAAGAGAAAAAGAGCTTCAAAGAAACTAAGAACTACTCACTTGCTACAAGACTTTCATCCAGCTGCTTGAAATAAAAGGCAACTTTGTCCAGTTCAGTCAGAGTGACCTGGATGTCTTCTAGCATGGTTCGCTCCTCCTTCTGTAGGGTAGAGAAACAGACATAAATAGGTCATCATCTAGCAGAAGGAGATGGTAGGCAGGAAGATATAGTCTCTACTGCAATGCTTTGATTCAAGAGACTTAGAGTAGAACACGCAGCTCTCCATTAACTCCGTCCCAGCCAGGTAATTACTGATGGCTCTTTCACTCACTACGTGGGTATGGGCTTTGCTACCCTTTGCTTAGATGTCATTTGATGGGATTCACAGACAGCAGAGAAGTTTAAGGACTGCAGAACTCTGAGGAGATTTCTTTCTCTGAACTTTACCCTATATCTACAAATGTGAAGAACAGCCTATAAGTTACTGTGAAATAAATATCCATACGTTCCATTTAATGTGAAGGAATAATACAGTTGCTTATGCACATGGTTTGGATTGTATTTGCAAATGCGCTCTTTCCACAATGTTAACAAAGTGCAAAACATGTGGTTTCTCTGTAGAGTCAGAGCTATCTCCCTTTTTAATGCTTCTTTCTTCTTTATCATTTTTACAGTTACTGTAGCTTATATACTGCAGCTATAGATTTTCTGTCCATTAGGGACAGATGAATTATACAAGATGTGTTCCTCTCTTCCTTGGATACGGTGCATACAGCTTAGGCTCAACTCACAGCACTACAGAGCTGTGTGTAAGAGATTGCAGTCTATCTATTGTAAAAAAAAAAAAGTGGTCGCGGTATTAAAAAAGCCCAGATTTCCACATTGTTTGGACATCTGACCTTTTTTTGCCTACTTGTTGAAATATATTTTTTCACCAGGAGAGGGCAGGCCACATATGCTTCACCAGCAGCTGTGCACTAAATCGTCCAGAAATGAAGCAAATCACCCCAAATACTAAGGCAAACAGACTGATCCCTACAGTGCTCTAATGTGACAGTGGCCCAGTATTTGTGAAGAGATGAAAATGATGGGACATGGACTACTGGAACATGACTGACAGCAGCGAGAATCTCCTGAGGCCGCTGCAGTGAGAGTCTAACCATGCTGCTGGACTGAAGAGCTTGAGCTGCACTGTGAGAGGGAGGAGAAGCATACAGGCAAAGGTGAACAGGCCCAAGGGTGCCATAAATCTTCATCTTACCACAGCAGGGGAGAGCAGAGACTGGTAGTTTAGTAGAACACCGGTGGCTGCTATCTGCTCCAGCCATTTTCTGCTAGCATCTCGGCTGCTCTCTTCATATTCCCCGTTGTTGTTGTATCGATAGTTGAGAGCAGCCAGCAACTGCTCCGAAAAGGTGCAAATAGCAGCCACAAGGGACTGACAGAAGATGGCATCACGTCTCAGCTGTAGCTCAGTATCTGCCAGAGAAGGGGAGAGAAGCACAGAAGTCATGAGTTACTTGTCTTTAATCTCACTGCCAAAGAGGCAGTTTGTATGTATTTGTGTGTATGACATTTGGCTTCTGCTGTAGCTTTGCACAGACTTTACAGATACCCTCTTCTTGCTGTGTGACCTGGGTGCGGAGATAAAAGACAGCCTAGCTGCGGTACAAGCATGTTTGAAAATTTTCCAGTCGACTCTGTTTATTTTCCCTCTCCCATCTGCATGTTCATTCTTCGAACTGGGAAGAGCTGTATAAGTCTCCCTGTAACTCCTTGGTGCCATATCTGGAATGATTCCCTCCTTTTTATGTTTACAGAAGCAAGAGAATTAATGAAAGAGAGTCTCTGCCATTATTCTCTCCTGGGCAATTAGAGATTCATCCTCCCTCCCATCCATCTGTATTTTGTCCCATATGCTTAATGCATTAACTGGACTTGCCCATACGGTACCAGTTGGTTTATGTTTCCTGGGAGAATTTCCCCTGTGTTAACTTTGCTTCCAGTCAGCCGGCCAGGCAGCCAAATCAACCTCGTCACACTTAAGGGGATTGCAGGCCAAAGAGGCACATGAATAAGTGAAGAGCTACTTCCCAAGCACCCTGGGCTCCTCCAGAAGGCACTGGGGTCCTGCAGTTTCTCATTGCCAAGGCAGTGTTCCCCCAGAGGTTTTGAAGGTTTGGATTATTTTTATAAAGCACTGAACACAATAAACTGAGTGATATGCTCCAGGCCCTGTGCCATAACCCCAGCCTAAGGGCAAGTCCCCTCGGTACTGCTGGAAGTAAGACAAAGAGAGCTGAGACCTGCCCTCAAGATGAGGGAATCCCTGGTGCCATAAGGCTCACGCAACCAGTTTGGTGCCATCTGCTCCTCCATTCTTTTCAGTGGATGTTCACGAAAATGTTGCATGAGATGGGGCACAGGTAGAGACTTACGGGATCTGCTCTACTCTATCTGCTATCACTAAAAACAACCTTCATGGGCACTAGACTGACACCACAGGCTGGTTTGGACTGACTCGTGGGCCAGCAATGGCAGCAGCAAAGAACTGATTTAGAGCCATACTAATTTAATATCATTCTATGAAGACTTTAGAAACAAGCCTGGCAGAGTGAAATAATGACAGCCTATTGCAGTTATTTATTACCTCATTTTCAAACAAAAATACACCAAGTAGATGTTTCAACTGCAAAAATGACTGCACATTCACTCCCGGAAAAGGCTAGTCAGTTGATCTACCAGTACAATGTTTTGTGTGTGGTAACACATTAATCATGTCCACAGTGTATTTAGGTGCTGCCTACATATTTAGGTTCTTAATCTGCTCCTGGCTATAATTTCACTATACACAGCCCTAACGCCTAACGTGCCCTGCTCTGTCTGGAAAGTTGATAGGGCCCATGATCTTACAGAAAGTTGTGCAATAGGTCTCATTTTTGCTGCATGTCCTCACCGCAGCAGGAAACAGCACAGGCCATCTGGGAATGAGGGTTATACAAAAGGAAAAATATGAAGACAGGAAAAAGAGAGTGGTGTTTGTACAACATAACCACCTGCCAGGTGACACAGCAGCCTAGAGTGAGCTGAAACAATGTAAACTGAAGAACAGATGACAGATGCATGAAAAGGCTGCCCTGGCTGCCTAAAACGCCAGGACAAAAGCTAAATGCTAAGAAACCTCCTCCCTCAGATGTATGCACAAGAATGTAAAGCTATAAATACTAGGGATCTCTGTATAAATAATAACACTTCACACTAATACACAAAATCAAAACCCCTTACCTGTACATTTTAATAAGGCCAAAAGCAGTTGATTCTTCCCATCTAAAACAGTAAAGAGAAGGAAAGCTCTAGTCAACACAATACTAAGGAGATTTGATTGCATCAGCTTAAAAGTCTCCTCATTCCCCACACTCCCTGCCTCTCCTCATCCCCTTGCATGGTCTTTTCTATTTATTCTAGTAATCCTTACAGACATTTTAATGATAGAAGAAGAAAAAAAAAGGTATAACTGTAAATGCTCCATTAACTACCATGAATTACTGGAAACAAATTGCACATGTAGATGAATCCCTAAGGAAGTGACTGCTGTCCAGTGCTTTGCACTCAAGTGTAAACGTCATCTGATTCAGCCAGCCTATTCGAGTTCAACCAGACTGCAATGGTTTAGGATGCTGTAGTAGCTGATTGACATTTTAGAATATACCAACCATCTCTCACTATTCCTTCTGAGCAGACTAAGGAGATAAAATAAGGGAGGAACAAATTCTTTGTAATCATTCAGTGCATAGGTGAGATGCTACCATACAGCACTGGGACTTTGTCTACAGTCACTTATTTTATCTGTTCTTCTTTTGAATCCAGTGGTCTGTAGCCTTATTACATATTGAGATAAAATGAACTGCTAGACCTGATCACATAAGGGCTATCTTTTCCCCCAGAAGCTGATAACAAACCTTTCCCTATTCACAGACCTTCCACATGTTTTTGTATGATTTCAACAAGGTTCTTGATGCGCAGTGGAAGGTTCCATGGATCTTCTTGAATGCTGGCTTGAATATTATTCCGACACCTAACTGTGGTTTCTTCCTTCTGTTTAAATTCTAGAAAAAATGGAGTTTGTCACCATTAAGGAAATGCTGCATAACTGAGAGTGGCTTATTAGTTAATACAAGCGGAGATACAGTATCGATAGCAAGAACTGTGAATGAAAGAGGTTCTGAACTAGATCTAATACAGAAGGGAAAAAAAAGACTATTCCTACAGTCTCACGGTCAGCAGTCTCCCAGCATTGTTTTCAGGATTGCGGACTAGAAATCATGTTCATAGGTCACGTGCACAGGGAAGGAGAGTTCTCCACTACTCAAAGCACAGAATTTCCTTCTATTTTTTATGTCTTCTATAATGTACAGGCAGTTATATCTAGAGTCTCCAGCTGTGCAAAATCAGATCAACTTTTTAGTTGCAGCTATCACATTTGATAATACTGATGAGAAGTTATGAAATATTTGGCTTTTCTTTCACCTGACTGAAGCTAATTATTTAATTATGCAGGACAAGATCTATTCTCCACGACTTAGCTAATTAGCTAAGCCAAATGTCCCATCGTTGGTGGTAAAATGCATAAGCAGACAGAGAAACGCAGAAAAACTGTGCCAAAAATCTGCTCATGAACAGGAATGGGACAGCATTCAAATTTACATCCATCACTGCAAGGTGTATATTGTAGCTCAGGATTGTATTAAACAGTCACTTTGGTCCAGGATTCCAGCTGAATGGAAGCAGGACTTGTCTGTTCCTTAGTGTGATGAATGTGAGATCATCAGTTAACTAGCTAACTTTAAAAGACTCAGTGTAATTTATCTAGTTGTAATAAATGAGACTGTTTAAGCAAAATAAAATAAAGGAAGTGAACATAGGGTGTTCGTTAATTCCTCACCTCATTCAAACAGTGCATGGAATGACTAACACAAGAAAGACTACATAAATGGGAATATGTTTTGTGAAGATGAACTTATGTAACAAATAAGCAAACAGGAGCTATTTCTGGAAGCAGAAAAAAATATCTCCTAGAATTTGCCAATGTACCTAAAAATAAGAGCTTATAAAGGTAGGTGGCACCCATGACTACAACATCTGAAGTATAACAGAAATAAACTTCAGATTTCAATTCAGAAAGGAAATGCAGCAAATGTTCATAAAATAAAGTCCTATGTATTTCAGGGAGAGAAGAAACCACATCCTGGGCCTCAAACCCATTAAGACCAAAGTCTCATCATGCTCCCTGAGGAAAAAAAAAAAACAGAGTATCATTTGTTTGCTCTCTATGGGAATCAGTTTTCAAAACGAATGTCATGTGAGGATGAGTTTACTCTGGCAATTACCCATCTCTGAAGAAAAGCAGAACAATTCATTAAGCAAACTCAGGCAGAACTTTTTGGTGCCTCAGACCTACAGTGATCAGTCTCTCATCAGCTTATCAAGAATGTTCATTTTCCTTGAATCTGACCTATCTCTCCCTTGTACCTTTTGAGATATATGTCTGTGTTTACATCGAAGGATAGAGTTGGAGACTTATGAAAGACCTATGAGGATTCAGAAATATGTTACAGAAAAGTGCTCTCTGCGTTTTAGAGGGAATTCATGTAAAAATAACCTGTTAAGGACGCAAAATTGCAGTGGTCAGACATGGCACCAGTTATTAATGTGCCCTGTCAGTATGACTGGGCAGACTGCAGAGCTGAAGTAATCCCATTTGGCCATATGGCCTGTGTGCATTCATATTAAGCTGTTCAGTCTTAGGAAATCACATTCTTAAATACAAACCAACCTTTTTCTTTACCTTGCAAACTGTGGTCCATTGGAAAGTGCTTGGTTTCTTCAAAGGCCTTAGTTATTATTGGTCCTTTTAGAAGTGCATTGATTGCATCAACCTACAACAAGAATATTTTCAGTCAGTGCTAGTAAGACTTGCAGAAGAAAATTTGGACAGAACTATTGCGGGAAAATGCAAAAACCATTACACTATTTGATTTTGGAATGATTTCCATAAACATCCCTCCATTAGCAAATAGCATTGAGCTATTCTAACCATGAACTGTCTTCAAGAGCCTCACATAATATTTTGCACAGACAAGCAATGATCTACAGGTTGATGAGATCAAAAGCAATACAAAATGATTCACCTGATGCTATACAGCTATAAAGACTTCTGTTGGCTAAGCCTGTGGGCTCTCCTAGTATCCATACATGTGGTCCATTTTGATCACACAAGGTCAACAAGGAGTTTTGCTATCTTTTTCCTTTTCATCAAAGCTTTTTTCTCCTTAATCTAATGCCTTACATAAGGCAGGTCAACCTTGCCTTAATCACACAAATCAACCCTAGCGTTGATGAAACTGCTTCCTCAAACTGTCCTATAATCTGTTTACTTACACTGTACCTTAAAATCTTAATAGATTGACTTCCCTCAAAATATGATTTAATTAAACAACCTGATACTTCTGATCTCTTATCTTGACGCTGATGCAATTGCAAAGAGTATGCAAATCTGTGTAATAATAATGGTTTACATACCTGGTTAAAAAGATGTTCCAGACAGCCATGAAGTTTGTCTTGTTTGTCTAAAGGAATTCTCATATCATTGGGAAGCTCATCCCCTAATAAAGGGAAGATGAAAGACTTTTAAGTGTCTTACTAACATAATCTGTGATGAGGTCATGATACAAGCACAACTTCACACTCAAGTGGGTAAAAAAACGATTGCTGAAGACAAAATGGGAGCTCAACAGCTTTTCTATAACTAATACATAAAAATCTTAATGTTTTTTCACCTTACAAAAAAGTCCGAAACCTAAAGAAGCTTATGTCTGCCTAACACCTCTTCTATGTTCCAAATTTACCATGGTTCATTAAAAAATTAGCAAATATCTATTAGTTTTGAAGAAACAACCTTGGCAACTTAAACATGCAAGTGCTTAAAATTAGCAAAGACCTATCAGCCCTACTAAAGGTATGAGAAGTATGTCTGTTACCTATGCATATACTCACCTGATCCCATCTCATCGCTGCCTAAGTAAGAGCTATTACTCCGTACACTGGTGTAGGACAACACTGAATCCCGGTTACTGTTACATTCACTAGAAAGAAAAGCAAAGAGGGTGATTTAAAAAAAGCCATCCTTATGCCCAGTCTCTAATACATCATCGTTCTGCTTAACTAACACTGCAATCACCAAAACAAATTCCCTTAGGTATACACAAGAGAAAACTCAGTTAAATGCAGAACAAGCAGTACACAAGGCCTCATAGGATGGCATTGTTACAGGATGTCTTTTTCCATTTTAAGGAATGAAGACGGGCTTCCTACCATAGGCGTCATTTGGATTGCATCATTAACCATGCCCTAGGAAAACAGATGAGGGGAGAAATAATTATACTCTATGAATTTGAATTTCAGCAGAACCCAGCGTTAGTTACTAGTTTTCTGGATATTACATCATCCAATTCCAGCGTAAGTTGCAGGTGCAGCAGCACAGATATTGGAGATGGCAGAGGACATCTAAGGAATCAATGCCCTCAGAGAATCACACGACAGAACCCTAACACTGTGTCAGGAAGCAGAAGAGTCACTTCCATTGGCTTCACATCAATACTGGCTCCATGCAGGGAAAATTCTAGCAGCAATCTCCTCTGTTTAAAGTTCAGTTTACACTAGCCATAATTTAGCTACAGGTTTCAGACTGCCTCCTTCCAGTTAAATGACACAGTGTTTTTAATGGTAAAAGCCCAACATAAGACCTACAAAATTCTCCATAAAGATTGTCTCTTCCTCTATTTTATTTTGGACTTAGATGAAGAAAATAAGTAAAAGCAATTAAAAGAGGCCTGGTCCCTAAGCTGGGTTCTCGCCTGTCCTTCGTTAAACCTATTACCAAAGAAATCTACACTTTCTGAAGAAGACTTAAGGTGACTGCATTGCAGTACAAATTCTTATGAAATCTGAAAGACGCTTCCTAGTGATCCCTGAGAAAGAAGAAAGGCCAAAGCAAACAAGACATTTTCTTATCTGTAATTTGCCTGCTTTTGTAGCTCCTCAGTAGTAGTTTTTCAGATCAAAAACTATCAAAATACGTTTTATTCCCCTTTGAGTAGCGATTATCTATAATTTGTGCTTAATTCTCTGCCTCTGTCTAATAAAGGTATGACAGAAAAATGTTTCTCATCTTGCCTTTATGTGCAAAATTTTGGAGCAAGTGACAGACCCACAGAGACCCTAGTTTTGATCTCATTTTGTTACCCAGAATAGACTACCCTCCATTATAGCATACTTTTAAACTAAACAATGTTCAGAAATGGGATTTCTATTAATAATGAAGGAAATTGTTCACATTTCAATAAAACAGCCTCAGAGCACATGAGCAGATTTAAATCTGTAAGAATAAATAGATGCTGCAGATCTCAACATCTTAAGTGCTGGTTCTGTGACTTTACTGATTTCATATCTGCTGTCCTTGGAAATGTTCAATATACAGCTGGACAAGACCCTGAGCAACCAGTCTCATTACACCTGTTTTGACCAGAAGATTGGACCACATGGGCTCCAGAGGTCCCTTCAAACCTAAATTATTCCGATTCTGTCATTTCTACAGCCCTGCAGAAGCATAACACAATTAGTATTACGTACATAATTAGTATTAAAAAAACACCACCAGGCAAAGAATCAGGCCTGTAACATGGAAGTTTCAAAGATATATCATTCATTTAAATTAATCCTCATAACTCTCTGGAGAGTGTCCCTACTCCTATATATAGGAAAAGTCCTACAGTCTTACTACGAATGTTAAAATGACCTGTTAAGGATGCAAAATTGCAATGGTCAGACATGATCACAACTTGTTGTTCCATTTCTTCTGAGGTTCACTTTTCAACTGTTTCCTCACAAGAAAGATAGACTTGGAGTGAGTGAGATTTCCTTTGGTAACAAATACTCCAGGAGAAGCAGCAGTCCATCATGTCTCAAGAACAAGATTTTGGGACACCTGAATAAATATTTGCACTTGAGGTTTCAAAGGCCCATTAAAAATAAAAAGCTGGATGCCCATTTCTGTCTCTCAGTGTCTTAAACTTCTGGGAAAATTGTGTGCAGACTTGAATGGAAAAATCACCTTACAATAGCACCTCTCATAAGATCAAGCAGTCTGCAAACTCTGTTGAGCTTTTATGGTTCCCAATTACATGGTATAGGAGGGTAAAGTCACACTAGACTATTTTATGTTCTAAGATAATTTAGTTTTCTAAAAGTCTTGGTATTGTGGCAAGCGCAGCAATCTTTTATTTAACATATAGCACTGTTCCTATAACTTTCCCAGGAATCAGAAAATTCTTAGTAACATAAAAGCCCTAACAAAGTACTAATAACAGGAATGAAGATGGACCTCTGGACCTCCTCGCTGCTAGGATAAGTCATATGGCAATTCATCACTTCTCAGTGCAGTGTCACACAGAGAGCGGTTATCCTCATGGCACAGCACCAGATGCACACTTGCATCAAGGCTGACAGTTTACTGCTTGTTTGCTTCTGCTGCAATGCAACCTTCAAAACCTGTTCAGACTGAGACCCCATGAAGTCCCACTGGTGAACCTTTGAGAAATGCACCATGCTATGGAAACTTCAGACTGATACCCGGCATTTTAGTCATGCAAGCTATACCTACTGGTGTAAATATTGGATAATCTGCTCTGGGAAAAGAATCTTGGTCTATTAATTTATCATCTACTACTGTAATATTGAAACAAAATGAGATAGACAAAGAAGATGAAAAGAGTTGCAGGTACTACTGCATAACTTCAGCAGTTTTTTAACTTCGGCAGGAGTTCATGTGACAGTTGTGAGCTTTTGGGTAAGGGGAACCAGCTATTGCCTGGGTGGGCCTCCTGCCTGGTGAATCCATACCTGGATTAGAACTTCAAAATACTATCTAGTAAGGTGAAAGAGACGTATCTATCTCTGGACTAACCTGTAGGAGTCTCTAAAACTCATTGTGTCATGTCCAGAGTCTTCCTGGTCTTCCTCAGAAACTTTGAAACAAACCTTCTTGATGCCACCATGCTCAGCTTTGTCAGTATCGCTCTCTTCTGTTCCCAGGGAAGGTGGAGATGTCTCCTCTGTGGATGGAGGCTCACACGCACCACCTTCTGTAGGTTCTGTTATGGTGGACAAAAGTCTGCCAAAGTGAAACATACTGCTTTCAGTGGCTGGTGGGTAACCTCGCAAACTAAGTATCATGACTATGACTGGAATTCAGATATATGAAATCAAAAGCAAGCTTGCCAGTATTTGAACTGTACATAGACTACAGCTGTGTAAAATTGTGAGTGCTGACAGTAGTTCATGGAAATTCATTAATCTGAATTCATAAAAGGTCAATTTTCCAGTTGTTCAGATCTCTAAGTGTAATATTAAACTTGGCTAAAAGGATAAGGTTGTGACTGGTTTAGCCACATAAAATTGATCTAACTCCCCCTTGCCCCAGAACAAACCCCAAAACTCCCAACTCAGATGGGTTAAAGCAAAGCCACTCTCTTTAACAAGTTCAGTTGAATTTTATGTATGATTTTTCAGACTCCCCTTTCAATGCTGAATTTGGGATGAAAAAATGCAAAAAGTAAACCTCTAGCAGTACAGTAGGAGCAGAAGGCCACCCAAATTTTTCTGCAACATACATCTTGGAAGATAAGAGTAATTATTTGCTGAAATAAATTATTATGTGCAATATTCTTGCTTCCACTTCCCACCTCCTCCTAGTAACCTACCAAGTTTTTTTTAGACACTAACTGGCACCCCTACACCCACAAAGTACATATCATAAACCTGCTCATCGCTGGCCAGTGGTGGGAGGCTTTTAGTCAACATTTTCCAGTTCTTTGAATTAGTCTCATTCTACTGAGACAGGCTGAAATCCTTACAGGTTTCTGTGCATATCCTGTATTTGCCAAACTGCAACCTTGTTACTAAGAGTCTTTTCCTCTTTATCTACTAAAGATTGCTCCAGTGGTTAAAGCTCAGACAAATAAGGATAGAAGGCAAAGACTGAATCCTTCTTGTTGTTCACAGGAATAAAAACACCTCCCACCTCTGCTGTAGGGCATGTTTCGTTGGTCCCTCATAGAAGACAAGACACTAGCTAGATTCACGTGACTGGGACATAAGCCTTCCTATGTCATTGATTTCTTTGTCCATCACCTTTGCTCCCACCACATTTTTGCCTCTTCCTCTCCTCTCATTGCTCAGTCTTCTATGTTGACCGCAATATTTGCCTACCAGACCCATTACTCAAATCCTTCATTACGATGGGGAAAAGAAAAAGACTGAAAGGGAAAGGGGAAAAAGTAGGTCCCAAAGAGAAAGTGGCCTCAACTTACAAGTTTGGCTTAGTTGGCCTTATCATAGAAAATATCTCAAGGCTAAGGGTCTATATGGAGTTCCAAAACCACTATTGGCAGCAAACAGATTATTACATTAGAATATAGTATACATGAAGAAGCGGAACGGTGGCTTGTTGAATTCGGGCAGAGTTTTAGGCGCAAATGGCAATTAGATGTACACTGGTGGATCTGCATAGGAGGAGATTTGACACTCCACAACCAGCGAGGAGCAGTAAGGCAACTGAGTGTGTGAATGGGCAAGTACAATGGAGTATAACAATTGTGCTCATAGGCAGAACGTATTTTCCAGGGGGTTATACCTCCATTTTGTAAGAATTGCTCTCTGCAGTACATACTGGATTATCTACTCACTTATTTATCTGAATGACATATTGCTTCATTTCCTTCACTGCAATGTCAAGTTTGTTAAAAAGGTGCAAGTAGGAGTCCTGTATCTCCCGGTCTTCCTGCTTCAGCAGAAAACTGAGTCCCCTTTCCTCCTGACTTGTTTCTCCATTCTGCTGGCCAAAGCTACCATCAAGATCTCCATCTTCGGGGACCGAGCATCTCCAGGACGGTGCAGCCATAGTGGTGATGCAATGTTGAGTGTATGAGACTGGATTTAAGGTACCTACTAAACATTGAAGGGTCTAGTTAGTATGGCTCTCGTGCCTTTCTGCACTCCATCCCAATAGTGATAGTTTGGGATGGGTGAACTTTTAATAGGAATGGAATTAATATACTCATAAAGAAAATTTCCCAGAATTATTTTGTAAGATCACATTCTATGAAAAAAGTGTTTGTTTTTTTAGAAAGAATATTCTTTCCTTGCATGTCAACTAAATATTTTGAAGTTACTGCAGTTCAGAAACAGCTGAAGTTATAGGAGTAATAACAGCCACTGTCCATCCATATGCTATCCATATTGTCTATATGAGTATCTAAAAGTATTTGTTGAAATGTTAATGAATTTAGGCTCTCAGGAATTGGTCAGTATTATTATTCCAGCTTTACAGTCATTCATTCTCTCTCTCTCTCTCTCTCACACACACACACACAACGGTATATTTTTTCTATATATAAAAACTATTTTATATAAAACGAACACTATTGCATATATGTTTATATATATAAAAGAAATGGGATTATGTCTTTATAGAAGAGAAATAAAATCCTTTTTCATTTAGAAATGCTGACAGAAGGTATATGGTACTTTCTTATCCACCTCAGCTCACATTAAAAATACTATGAAATTTTAATATTTTTAAGTGAGCAGGGCTTTTAAGTGAGCAGGCTTCAGTGACTTTGTTTTGAACACAGTCAATGGTATTCCGGACTAGATTGGTTAGTCTACATTTCCATGTGTCCATTCCAAACATTCCTGCACTCTGACCTTGCCAGACAATAAATCAGAAGTATATTATGTGAGATTATGATGAGGAAATGTTGGAAGTCAAATATTCAGCTTGTAAGACAAATGCTATGTAGTGGCCATTTATCAGAAAATAGATCCTCTTGACAGAGTAGGGGCTTCTAGCTCAAACAGGTGTAAATTACTTAGTAATGACTAAACGTAACCACACTACAATCTAATAGGTTAAAGTTTTCCACCTGAATATAACCTCTCTTCACAGTATGAAACCACTTTTTCTAGGACTATTACTAGCCCTCATTACTTTTCTTTTGGTCAATAAGTCAGTTCTACAAAGTCCAAACAGGACACTTAGTTATTATGAGATAACCACACTGCTTAGCCAGTAAAAACGTTTGACCTGAAGCCTCTCTATCCATGAAGGCCTTATTATTCTGACAATGACAACACAACCTGGCTGTCATTGTTCTGGAAAAAAGGGAAAAAAGAAGGCTGTGCTTCTTTGCAACTTATTTTCAATTTGTTAAACAGTGGAAAGACACAACTTTCTATGCAGCTAATACTAATAGGTTTTGAAAGTTAATTAGCACCTTGTTCTGGATCAAGACCAATAATAGAAGGTTTCCGTCCAATGCGAATGCTGAACGACCTCCCTGCTGAGGTAGTGTTTTTGGGGTATGATACCTCCATGAGGTTAACGTGGCAGTTGGTGGGGCAGAAATCCATACTGTTGAGGGCATGTGGTTCCATGATGGCTTGTTTGAAGGCTGGGCTCACCTTTGCCTTCAATTCATCTGCAAACTAGGAGAAATAAAGCAAACGTGTGCTACTTTACTTGCAAAAATTTATGATACAACATAGACAATCCTTTTTTCTTCCTTCCAGCCTTCTTTTCCAGAATCATATGATTTCTACTGCAGCTGAAATTACACTTTCCAAAAAAAAAGCTCATAAAACAATAAATGAAAACAATTAACAGTACTTTCTAGGGGCACCTTCTCAAACAACTCAGGTAATTGCCCAAAAGAGCATGCTTAGTTTATTTACACTATGATACACTGCAATTATGCTCATATTAATTCCACAAATCAGACACTGATCATTATTTTGTGGCCACATTTATTCAATCATATGGTGGTGATGGACCTGCAATAATATGTTCTAACTCATAGCTCTGACAAGCTGAACGGAGTGCTTTACAAATAAGTTGCTTTACCCTCACAATCTGCAATTTAATTAACTTGCAGAGCTGTCTTCACGCCAGTAGGACACCTACCTCTAAAGCACTTCAGATTCATAAATAAAGAATACTGAGACCCAGTGATCACAATGAAGTATTGTCTCAAGACTTCACCAATAACTAGTAACGTTGTACCTCTTGGTAGTTTGCGAGCCTTCTGCTAATACTTTCCAGCTTAGTGTCACAGATTTGCCGGAATTCATACTGGGGCATGGTGGCCACAGCACTGCTTAGGGATATCAGCCTTTTGCAATTCCTTACAAAGTGATTGTCCTCTGCAGCAAACGCCTCTAAAATCTAAATGAGAAGACAGGAACAATGATATAAGACTTGACAGTGCGGGAAAATGCAGTTTTCTTCCACTGGATAAACCATAAAGCCCATATATTGACATGGTTGAATAAAGCTGCCTTTATTAGCAGCTGGGGACCATTATCGTTTCTAACCCCAGAGATATTCCTCAAAAATTTTCAGAATATCTGATATGGCTCAAAATAGCCACTGTGCACTGTCAAAGTTACCTGCTCTGGCATGCCTTCTCTTTCATGGGACATAATAATAATGTTATTGGGATGTGACGGAAACGTTTACTATCATCTCATTATTGTGCACATCTGGATCAAAATACTAAGCATTGCTGGTTTCTGATAGTAGCAGTTCTATCTGTTTCCTTCAGTGACCCACCCAGATGGGAAAAAGCTGCTAGAATTTTTTTCCAAGGTAAAGCAATTCTTGCTTGAGAAGATTAACCTTGCCTATCAGCAAAGAATGCTGTACCAGATAGGAAAAAGGGAGAGTTCCACAGCTGAGGGCCCCCTTTGGGCCCCTAACAGCTGAAATCCTGCAAGCACTTGCTGACTTGCCCATACCAAGAAAAAGCTGTTATAATTTGGTACATTCTAGTTAAGAAAACTCCAGGCAGGATTGAGAAGAGCATGTACTTCCTCATCAGGAGTGCCCAGCACCAGAGGAGTGCTGAGATTATCGGCCTCCCTGTTCTGTTTAGGAATGAAGCTGGCAACGTACGATGTCTGGTACCTTTGCAGTGAGATTGAAGCAACCTTTCGGTTCTACAATTTTCTCTAGGACAAAGGATTTGATTCCTGCACTGCTGACATATTCATACACCACACCATGCTCCAGATGAGTGTTATCCACAGTCAGGCTAATGAGAGGTGTTTCATCACTAATGATCAGTGGAGAGATGATGGCCTGTGGTGTTTGGGCTGAAACCAAAACAAGTCATTAGAGGCAGCACACGTGCATATAGGCATGCATATGGAAGAGAAATCTGTTGAGAGGTATTAAATGCAAAGATACCACCTTTGGCTGAAGAAGTCTTTGAACCACAAACTGCTAGAGGCTGGAAGGGTCTTCTTAAGAAGACATTTGCTCCTCCCAAGACATTTGCTGTTGGGCACTGCTGCAGGCAGTGACAGGAGACAATGCATGTGCTCCAAGCCACATTCTGATGTTCTTGTATGCATCTATGCACACATCCATGCACACGACACCACTTTTAGCTCTGTTCAGCATACAGATACACAGTTCCCAGCAGAAACTCTTAAAGGGAAGTGAAGTATGTTAATCTCAGAGTCTTGCTGTTTATAACCACCCTCTGGAAGACCTGCCACTTTTCTGTCCAAGCTGTAAGGTGTCCTCCAGAAGCATTTTACATGTAGATACAGAAGTGAGACGGGAGAGGGAGATAACATTTTTGCACACAGAGAATGCTACTGTCACCACAGGACAGCTTTAATTTCTAGTCAGAATGAGATCTGCCAGAGGACTGCTCACCTGCCTCTACCAGGGCATTGCTCCAGCTATTCCACTGTGGAGCTGCAGTTTGGCCATTGGACTACCAGCTCACCAGGGCTTACATGGGATTCAGGCAGGTCCTAGAGAAGCTGCCAATGCTGTTCAGAGAGCCCAGGCTCCGTCCTTTGGAGTGAATCTGGTTGCAGTATTCTCCTCTAAAATCTAGTAAGCTCTAAACATGAAGGTAAATCTTAAGCTACACTTTTCTAAATTGGAGGAAGTACATCCACACATTTTGCTAACACTGTGGTAAAATGTTCTGAAAACTTGCTCCAGATCAGCAAAGTCATTTTAAATGGTGGCATACTTAATCACAGGAAACACATGTTGTTCCAGCTGAAGTTACTCACAGACTCCCTCCCTCTTCAGCTGCAATTGTTTTTAACCTCCTGGTTTGCAGGGGCTACCAAATGGTTCCAAAATTGCTGAGCCTTTTTATTCTAGATACTGTCTCTCTTGTAAAGTTCATAAAGGATGGGATCTGTTTGCTCTTTTAAAGCAGAATAAGCTTAAAAAATGCTAACAGTGTTTGTAGAAAGCAGTATATCAAACCTGTTTTCTTGCTAGGACCCTAGTTTTGTCAGAACTCTTTCACACAGGCAAATAGAGTTTCACTGCAGCAAAAGTAGATTAGAATATTAGTGTATGTGAACTGGGTTGTCTACATCTGCCCCTCACAAGCTAAACTGTGCCAACCCAGACTTGTGCTCACAGCTTTCTTGGCTTTGTTTAAAATTTCTGGTAAGACTAACATTGGACTAGTCTGGGAGAGCCTGTAGTAGTAACTACACAGCTGACATGCCAAATAGGGTCCACATATCTCTGACAAGGAACCTCCTTTGTCACCATTTTAGCCTGTTTTTCTCACTTAGGTAACTTCGTGAAGGCGTGTTAATGATATCCACTGGTCCTTAGCTCTACATGGCAGTCTCCCTTATTTAGCAGCCTAATGCATAAGAGCATATCAATTACTACAGATGGCACAGGACAGGGCTTTGTTCCATGAAAATGAATTTTCAGTGTGGTATATGTTAACCTAGCTCTCAGACACTGTGTAATTATACTGGTTTGTGGCTTGACGTCAAAGCTATCAACTAAATAACTCCAATTAGTACATGCTTTCTCAGCATGCAAGACCCTAGTCATTTACTGCAGCACTGGGGCTATAACAGCCAATAAAAGTAGACGTACCAAGAATTTTTTCCTCTACCTACATAGTAAATGACGTTGATACTTATAAAGGTTCTCTAAGGCACGATCAGGAAACAGACATCTAAGAATCCAGAATGAATTCCTGTTTTCTCTTCTGTTCAGAGGAGAGCACATGCCTCTTCAGAGTCACAGGGGTATGATTTCTACAGGTATCTCTATTTTAGTTTCTCCTAAATAAATTGCAGTCTGAGACTACTTCCTCTGGCAGACCTCATTTTGTTACAGAGCTCTGCTGAAATAAGAGATTTTCCACAATAATAATTACATTTCTTATTTCTACTGCAGTTTTCCTTCTTTATGATTTGAAAGCATCCCAGTCTTCCCTAGGTTTCCTTCCCCCATGACAATCTTTACCTGATTCCTGTTGGATATTCTGTAGGGGATGTGATTCTGCACCTCCTTTCAGTGAAGGATCTTCTTTGCTGGACCCGAGATGACTGCCATTCAGATAGGCACTGGATGCTGATTGCTGAGCTCTGTCCTCCTCAGCATCTTCATGTGTTCTGTACACCCACTGGTACAATCCCTTTCAAAAGATATAGGCTTGAACTATGACCTCAGTAAAAATGCCTGATCGCTCTAGATTTGGTCTACAAATGTGAATCTGGATGTCAATTTTGAATCTTCTAAGTTGGCTGAAATACCAGCATTCCCCCAGCCTTCCTCTGATTCAGAGTGTATAAAATCTATATCCATATCTGGGTGCACTTTGAGTTTTAGCAATAGTTAATAATACGTAGTAATCTATGTAGTGTATGAATTGTCATATGTGTTATTTGTAGATATTTTGCAACTGTCGCCAACTACAGGGTTTTACCGTTATCCACTCCCTTAATTCACTCCAGGGCCTCGGTATGGGAGTAAATAAGTTGAAACAGATCTGTGTAAGTTGCTTTTCTGAATATTTAGGGAGCATAAGAAAGGGAAGAAGTGGAGAAATTAATATATTTCCTTTAAGGTCTTGTATTCATACCAGTGCTTCCTGTTGTCTGGTCCTGTATGCTGTAAAGTGCTCCAGAACGTCGATATAAATTGCATGTGTTGCATTATTCCCATTAACTTTCAAAATACACTGCCCTGGATGAAGGCCTACAGCTGCAGCCTCAGATCCTGAAAAAAAGAGAGGATTTAGACAGTGAAGCCCTCTGACTATGGAAGAGACCACTGGAAAGGTTCAACAGGTTCTGGTTAAGAGCAGGAAGAAAAGCTAGTTCAGAGTGCTGTCGTGGTTTTGCTAATTACTTATCCCAGGAGAGCTTTGCTGAATGAGGAACACATTGTGTATCTATCCTTCATATTTTCAGTAGTGCTGGGAAAAGTAGAGCGCCCCTAGATCTGAATACATTTATGGTATAAATTGTAATTCCTATGGAAAATCATTTGGGAATTTTAGATGGTCCTTCCAGCCTTATATTTATGTTAGCTGAGGTCTTGCTTAAATGTTAACAGTTATATATGTTTCTGCTTGTTGCATTTGAAAGACACAGAATACTTAACTGTAATGCAATCTGCTAAGGTCTAACAATGAGATTATGATATACTTAAAACTAGAGTAAGCATAGAGCAAAGTAATCAATGGATTTACTCCAGATTCATATGAGCAAGATTCAGATCCAAATCCAGCTCCTAGAAATCTAGAGTTAAGGTGATTAACTTTTTAAGGCACCATAATTTAAAATTCATACAGTTTATTCCAAATGCAATTTGGCTTTTACTAGTAAAGTCCTGAAAAAGAAAAATCTTTTTAGCTGGCACTTCCAGTTTGCACTCTTTAGTCTGTTAAAAAGTGGTTATAAGTGCCGATATGAAAGGGTGTAATTAATGTGCCTCCCTGAGAATGTTGTTGGCTGCATTTGGGTGTTGACTGTTTTCTGTACACTAACTATGCATATATATTAACGCATGTATTTGTGCTGAAGGAAGGAAGTGGTACACAGCATGTTTCTGCATTTGCTGAAAATAAAGGCAAAAGCTGCGCTTTATTTGCAGCTCAGTGTGCGTTTCAGTTACAGAACTGGTAACTATCACTGACAAACTGTGTTTTCTCCTTTAAAAAGACGGAAGAAGCAGTTTGCCTCTATCTTATATTGGTAATTTACAGCAATATAAACTAATATAAAGGGAGAAGTAGCCTTCCATTCTGACATCATATTCTGTGGTATTAAGAAAATGGTCTGTGCACTGACGAGCCCATCAGCATATTCACAACTGCAGTCAACCCCACTATAGCTGACCACCAGCAACAAATTGAGGAAATAACACACAGAATCATGCCTTGACTTTTTCCTCAGGCATCTTAGTTTTAACCTTTTACTCCCTGTGGCTGTAAGCCATACCTTAGCGGTCTTACAGGTTAGGATCAATATGCAGACGCATTTCGAAGCTGGAAGAGCTCAAGTGACAATGCTTCCTCAAGAGTCGTTCCGCAGTACTGTGGATTGCAATACTAGCAGATTTCCTCTATGGCAGAACCAAGTTACTCCCGGTTTGTGTCGAAGAGATAGTGACCAACGCTCAGCTTATTATAATGACATAATCTTCTTAGACTGTATTTAGATTTTAAGTGTCTCAAGCAGGAACCATCTCTTTGTTCTATGTTTTTATATTTGAGTGGGATTTTGGTCTATGACAAGGGTCCCTAGTCATTATGGTTATTAAAATGAGTTGTCAGAACTTGTTTAGAACTAGTTTGACAACGAAACCTGAATCTTGCTCCCCCCCCCACAACATATATATATATATATGTGTGTGTGTGTGTGTGTGTATATATCTACATTTTTTTACATATAGATATATAAAGGTACTTAATAATATATAATCCAACCTTAACTATACCATAGTGCGTCTACTTACCTCTTCCTACCGCATGAACATATGGTGGTGCTGCTCCCCGTATCTGAAAGCAAAGAGCTTCAGGAGAATCTGGGATTTTAATAATCCTGCAGGAAAATCAAGGAGAAAAGAAAGCAGCATTTTGTTAAGACTGCCAGAGCAATGGGCAGTTCTAACAATGTATTTTTTCTGGCATTCACAGCTGTGTTCTAGATTAAAGAAAACACTCACACAGCTTGCAAATAAATAACAAATAAAGGAGTCTGAAAAAATCATCTAGTCCATCTCCATTCTCCAAGGCAGAAACAGCTGTATCTAGATGTCTGTTTAACCTATTTTCAAACAGCTGTAAAGATAAAGATTCTACAACTTTTCTGGCAATCTGTTTTCAGTACTTCATGATGTTCACTGTTAGAACATTTCTCCAAATGTCTAATCTGAATCTTGCTTGCACCAGTTAAAGCCCTGTTTGTCCTGTTCATGGTATACAGAAGGAAAAGAACTTTTGCAGCAGCCTTTCACGTACTTATATGTTCCTGTCTTCTCTCTTCTCTTCTTTAGGCTTAGTAACCTCAGCTCTTCAATCTTTATTCACAAGTTATGTTTTATAGACCACTCACCATTATTATTATTAATTATTATTATTGCTGTCCCCTGATCTCAAATCAGTCTTTCCTGAAGTACAGCACACAAAACTGGACAGAGTGCTGCAGCCCCACACTCCCCCAGGCAGAGCGCAGTGAAAAGATTCCTTTAAAAATGTTTGTAAAGAAGCCAATAAAGGAGGCACTAATTCCAGATAGCAGTGCGCTCATCAGGACCTAATTTACCACTTCAGCTGCTGCTTCTGCAGATTAATAAATTTTAATACTTTATTGCTGAAATGACAACTTCAAAGAATTATTTCAAATATCAAAAAGACTGACAGAGCTTGGGCAGCAGCCACGTAGACTTTCTTCATATTTTCCACCCTTTCTAACTTCCCTAAGGTTAGGCCCATAGGCAAATCAATCCGCTTATTAGGCTTTAGGAGATGGATGACAGATTTCCCAACACTGATGTTAGCTGGGAGTGTGAATTTTAAGACAGACATCCATACTGAAGCAATTGGGCTGATGCTTCTGTAAGAAGCCATTCTAGCAATTTCTAACCTGGAATTAGATTTTAATAATCACTGAGATAAAGCGTACCATCTGCAATAAGTAGAGTTCTGAATCAATATATCCACGTATGCAAGACAGAGTTACTTTACACTGCATAGTAAAACTGTTTAAGTTTGTGCTTTATAGGATTTGGAAGGAATTCGCTATAATTTACTCTACTCTGTGAATCAAACTAATATAAAGTGATGTAAAGAGCAAACAAGCAAACAATAAACAAGACAGCGATCCTGAGCTAAGACTTTACTTCTCCATGACCAGCTTTGACAGACTGTGTTTCTATATCGAATGCTATCTCAGCTTATGGAAATTTAAAACTAAAGACAGCTGCAATACATGGTCTTGATGCAGAGTGTCAGGAAGATGAATCTAAGATTGGTGAGATCTTGTCTGAAGACAGACTCAAAGTTCAGTGAATACTCCATGTAAAAGATGGAGCAAGCTTCATGTGTTCACAGAGTGAAAATATGTCAAGCAGCACCCTTATAATTGTTAACTAAAAGAAATGAATTCTGCTATGTGTTTGCAAGCCCCTAAAGACCTGAAACTCTTGTGGTCGGCAGGCCTTTTCATTTTGAGCAGGATGTTTTAAACCAGAGGAAACTTCAGTCAGCAGAGACAGTGAGCGTTAGCAAGTGCGTGCACACCCTGCAAGTACCTGGACCAATATCCTGCTTTCGGTCTGTGCCGTTCTGATGCAACAGATGGGAAATTCTGTTTGTTAATTAAAATTTGGCACTTCTGAATGTATTAAATCGGTAAGCAAATAACAAGTGACAGAAACTTTCTATAATATTTATGTCTATATTGGTTTCCATTTTCAGGTAAAGTTCAGTGCAGCTGTGCTGACTTACACCAGCAGAGGATCCATTCCATTAAAAAATAAAATAAAATCAAATAAAATAAAGAACAAGATCAAAAGGTCCTGGACTAAAATTCTGAAATTCTGCATCAAGTGAGAATTGAGCGATTTAATTCTATGGCAAATTCTGGGATTATAGAATCTAATAATTCATGAGACCTTAACAGGACCAAGCCTCATTATGAGATACCATAATGAATTGAAAAACTGTATGGACTGATATGGTCAGTGCCATATAAAAGTGCCAAAAATAAGCCAAGCTCTAATGGGGTGGGATCCACCTTCCCTCAAACAGATACTAGAGTCTGAATGACCAAGATAGATATCAATTCTTGTGATTCAGTTCTATTTGTGCACAAGCAGGTTAAAAGTTAATTGCAGTATAAAGAAAATATATCCCATCTTGTTTTAGAGGCACAAGGATCATCACTGAGAATGATTTGTGACTCTTGCATCTATTTCATTTATCTCATTTGTTTTCCAATCAAACTGCAGCTTCTGCATGGTAAAATGTTCTCACTACAAACAGTAGAAAAAAAAAATTGAAGTTTCTAGATAACTTCTCTGTCTGTCATCCTGGCACTTACTCTTTGGATTTGGTGGCTACCAGAAGTCTAAGAGGCCTTCGTGAGCAGAAAGACTGGTTTAAGATGGCTTCCACTTCTGAAAATGGGCGTAGGAATATTAGGTCTTCATTGATGGAATAGATCTTCCTTCCTATCTGCAGGCCAGCCATCTGCAAATGAAACAAACGCCACAGGAAAATTCAGATCCTCAGCAGGGACTCTGCTACAAAGATGTGCTTTGAGAGGTTCAACTGCTCCCCACCAGAGAAGTTCCTGGGATCACTGTGACATCAAATACTGTATATACAGAGTTGGGTCATGAAATCATTTGTCATTCACCCTTAAAAACCATCTGTATTTACACAAAACAAAAGATTTCACCAATATCTGTATAGATATGCCATCTCACAGATACATCTTACTTGGTACTTTTCTGCTACACTTTTTTAACGGGAGCCTTCCGACTAGCTATGCTACCCAGTGAAATACAGAACTTACAGATGGGGCACAAGAAGCCAAGAACATAGTATTCAGCCACTAGCCATGCAAAACTAATCCATAACTAGTCAGATAAATAAATGTAACCTGTTGTTAAGTGGTGGCAAAAATCTGCCTTTGCTTTAAGTGAAGTATTGGCTTTTCATTGCCTCAAAAAGCCAGAACACTTTTGTTTCAATGTCCAACTTTAATTAACTCATGTAACTTTAGTTATTTGGCCATGGTCACAGAGGAAGTCAGAGGCTGATCCAACAACAGAATCCAGGTCCCCTATTCTGCCCACTAAACAATAACCCTTAATACACTTCTTAATAGTCAATACTAGTTAAACTGTGATGTAACAGCACCTTGACTAAGTGTTAGGACATCAAGGAAATATCAAATTCCTTTTAATGGAGTAAAAAGAGAAAATCTACGGGCCCAGCTGTTCACCCTCACTAGATTAAGCTTATTTCCTGTTACTTCAGGCTCTAATTTGGTTCAAATGTTTCATCTGGAATATGTAACTGCAAAAGAAATGATTCATTTGAGTTTGAACTCAACCAGTTACCCACTCCCAAGATGTCCTCTTCAGTTAAATCAAAGCAGAGTTTCTGTTGTCCTTCTCTGGGAGTCAGTATTTATTGGTTACTTTTTGCTTCTTTAGAGAACAGTGTCTTCTCCAGCAGTTGGGCTTTCTTCTAAATGTGACTACAGTCTTGACCATGAGCCCCTTTTCCTGTTTCCTGTTCTGTCTGCAATCTATGGACAAATTTCTTGACTTGGAAGAAGGAGGTCTAAACCTTACTGCAAAAATCTCATCCCAGATATAAAAATTTGACTTGTGGCAAAAGTGAATCTGGAAGGATAGGACTGGAAAGATTGGCTGACTTTGCTGACACTTGGCTTGGCGTTTCTTATATATATTCTGTGGTCTGAATGTCAGAGGTGGGTTTACCTAGAAAATCTAGGCTTTTTTGCTCAACTCAAAGCTTTTAACAGGAGAAACTATGAAGCGCTCTCCTTAGTTTAGTTCTCAAGCTCTCTATGGTCTGTAAAACATCCTCTTGTGTGCCTGGAAATAACATTCCTCCCCCCCTCCTTTTTTTTGTTAAAGACAATCCATAACATGGATAATATGTACAAGTAACAATACAGCTGCATTTTAACTTAGAATAGAATTTTATAAACTTTGGTTTATAATTCAATGGAAATGTTTCTGCTATTTGCATTCATTTCTATTTCAAAATAATAATTATATATATATCTTCAAAGTCATTATATTTTAGGGCTGATTTTCTCAATGTAGCTCATGCAATTGATGTGCAACAAGCTAAAATCTCTGCACACTTGCAATCACTCTACCTGTCGATGTCCTCTTTATATTTATAACTGACCATTTGTACATACGAGATACCAGCCTGCACAAAAAATCATATTAAATCCATGAACTAGCACTTTCAGACAAAAATCTATTACTTTAGTGGGACAGAACTAACCAGGCTAAGGAGAACGTGACAGCATGTCTCTCGAAGAGTAAAGACCTACAGTGTCATGGAGCTAGCATTTTTTTGAATAATGGATGCTCCTTATGACGACTCAATGCAGTTGTCTGGATCCAGGCCACCGCTTTTTCCAAAATGCCAGCAGCGTGCTATTTACTATTCATCTGCTTGGCCAAGGGCCAACTGGCTGTTTGTCGAACATGCTCTGTTCAGACACCAGACATCTGCTTGTCAGTTGGCTGCTCAGAGTAAGACAGCAACCGCACCTCCTAAACGGTATTTTTTTCAGTGTTGCTTCTTTCTGCTACAGTAAGTGTATCGTTCATAAATCAGCTCTAGGATCAAAACTTGTGTGAATAAACCCAGCTATCATTACCCTGTAAGTGAAATGCCTTGGAAAGGAAGACAAGGTACAAACTGAGGAGAAATTGACTGGTTATATAATGTTTTTCTGAAGACAAAGGAACCTAGGACAGGCATGCGTCTCTGCAGCAGTCCACATCCACCAGCCACTGATATGGGATTTTTTTGTGATCCTCCCTCTAGGTCAGCTGAGCAAATGCTACAATCACAGCTAGGTGCTGATAGGAGCACAGGGAAGGCAGAACCACAGGTGAGAGTCCCGGGCTGAGAGCTGCTCATCGCTGTAGGTCAGCAACGGAGGTGGGCGGATACTGCTATGAATCTTAGGGATGAAACTGAGAAGCTGAACATACACCCTAGAAAAAGAATTCCCAAACTGCAATTCGAGTAGCCTGTCAGTACAGGAATTTGATGCTTCAGCAATTCTCTTTTAATACAGTTTTACAGTTTTTTACAGTCTCTTTTAAAACTTTTAATACAGTTTGGGAACACCGGCAAAGCTAACAGCTCACAAAAGTGTCTAAGCATCAAAAGAAAAAAAAAAACAGTAATAATAAAAAATAATGCTTGGCAACTCTGATTCTGAATAAAATCCAACCAGCTCCCTGTTTGCCACCACAACCTGTGCATGACAATTTTGTTGCTGGTACACTAGGGACAACAGATCATAGTCCCAAACTCAAAAACAATGTGTTAATCTTGAATAAAACTATACAACTATTAGATTTGGCCCCCCTTCCACTGGCAGACCTGGAATCTTATTCCGGCATAAAGTCTGACAGTCCTAATGAAAGCAATGCACTGTGATGGGCACCGTGAAGCAAAGCCGCATGTCTTAATTTTTGTCTCCGGAGAGTGCGACAGCAGGCACAGGATTTCTAAACGGCCTGCAGCTGCTGAGCCATGCAGAACCACATGCTGGATATCCTTGCAGTACCATAAAGCAATTTAAAAGCTCAAGAATATAATGAAATGCATCACTGTTGGACATCAGGTCTTCCCAAAATGAGCTGACAGCCCTCCAGTTCAGTGAGATGCAGATCTAGTTCTTTTCCGCAGCAATATTTATAAGATCAAGTTGAAAAGATGGGCACATAAGTTTGTCTTGGAAGGTCTAGAAAAAGATTCCTTAGAAAATTGTGTGCTTCTGTTGTCTTAAAACACAAACAGATTTGCAGGATATTCTACAGGCAGCTAGCCAAAGAAAGGACAGCAGGATTATCTGTCAGGCAATGGTTTACAGTGGGGTTTAGATTAATAAAATTTTTGGCCAACCTCTGTTGATTTTGAGCATGAGGTAGAGCACGGGATTAGTTTCTCTGCTGACCACTAAACAAACGAGTATCAGGAATACTAAGATCATGTAATTCCAATATTAAATTTCACCTCAAAATCCCCTCCTGTTTGACATTCTCAACTTGTTAAAATCAGTCTGTCCACTTCAGCTGTTTGCACTGGAATTGCATGTAGCCTAAACCAGTGACCCACAAGTGAATGTGGACATTCAAAGTTCTGTAATGGTTGTTCTGGATTTCTAATTAGAAATACTGTCCATGCTCTACCACAATTTTCTACCAAACCACGGGCAAGTCATTTAGTCCTTGATCTTCTCTTCATAGTTGTTAAAAGGCACCTAGATACCTTTTAAAAAAATAGACCATCAGTCTGTCGGTGCCTTATATCTGTAAATATAGGATAATGCTGTGTTATCTACTCAAGGGTTTTGTAGAGATATATAACTGATTATGAAATATTCAGATCGTATGACGTTTGGGCCATTTATGTGCCTCAAAGCAAGTAAACGTTCTGCAGAGCTGATTAGTACTTCTCAAAAATATCAGGGCTCATGAGCGAAATCAGCATATGCATGTAAGGAAAAAACACAAATCTAAAAATACAGCTTCCACTCAAATAGTCCTGTGTTTCTCACTGTATTTCTCTGTGCTATCCCAAACCTATTGCTTTCCCTCTGCCCTCAGATTTATGTTGCTAATGCACCTGGGATACACTATCATCACAGAGAGATGCTGCTGTTGTCTTACCACTTAACAAGCATATTGAACAAGGAAATAATCCAAAGGTGCCAAAGCATGTAGAAATTTACAGAGAGAGTTTATTACCAGAGAAATTGTAGAAGGCTCCCAGTTTTTTATTAGCTGCCTTGAAAATGAGGCTAACGAATTTAAAAGGATATTTTTGTACCTTTTCAAAGCATTTTACTACTTCCTTTGCTATGAAATTCTTAGCTGCCAAAACCAAAATATTTACAAATAATAGAAAGCCTTACCTCTGCAGAAGACCCTCGTCGAACTGACTTCACCACAATTGCTTTGTTCTTTTCTTCTATGTCAAATCCATAGTCATCTTCTTCTGGTAAAATCTTAAAAATAAAAAAGAGCACAGTGTAATGCTTCATGAACACGGAGTTAGCTGAAAGATAGAGTTAAGAAATTGGACTTTTCACTTCAAGCCATGATCAACATAGATTCATAAATTTTAAGGCCGAAAGGGGCTATTATGTCATTTGATCTGAATCTCCTACATAACATGAGCCATAAAATTTAATCTATTTTTTTCTGCGCTAAGACCTTACAGTATTAAAGCACAGTTTCCAGAGAGCTACCCAACTGTGATCTGCAATCTTTAAGAAAGGAAAAATCTATTCCCTCCCTTAAGAGTTTGTTCCAATGGTTAATCACTTCCTCTATGAAGAAATGGGTGCTTTATTTCTCATTTGAGTTTGGTTTTAACTTCTAGCCCCTCGTTCTTGATTAGATTTTTTCACTTTTAGATTACAGAATACACTAACATTCACTATTTTCCTTTGGTGAAAGTACTTACAGAGCAAAATCTAGTCAATTATTTTTGATACCCCCCTCAAATTTATATATCCTATGTACCCAGTAATGAAGAAACTATGACTCTTTTCTAGCTATCAGTTTTAGATGAATTGGGGATCTCAGGCCTGTTTCTGATAGATAATCCTGCATACTACATAAATTGCATTGTAATAGTCTGCTGGTTGAAATCCTAGTTAGTCTGCTGGTAAGAAGGAACTATTTCTGACCCCTCTAGGTCCTTTCCCTAGGGAACAAGCATGTAAGGGAAAACACACCAGAATTGTGTGTTGTGCTCATTTTGCATCTTTTCGTCTTGGCAGAAGATTGCTGCTCTTGCTGCTGGAAATCTGCCTCCTTTTATTTGCCCTGGGGTCACATGGCTCAGCCTTATAAGTGTTTTTTAAAATCCTATCAATCACGGCAAAAATGCATTTCACTCATCGTTTTCTAGTGCTTTGCTATAATGAAAAAAAGCTAACAACAGTTCACTTCCCATTTAAAAAAATAAAGTAAGTGGTCAAGTAGAAATTCTACCAGATAAACATCTTGCGTATGAGCTAACACTAACACTTAGGAAAGGAAACAACTAATAAATCAGAAGTGAGTTGCAAGGAAAAGCTATCTATAATCTAGCAAGTCACTGGGAGATAAAAATTACAGAGGATTAATCCCTTGACTCTGGTGATTCCTACTCTATTTAAGAATACTGGCCTTTTTCTATTGAAGTCAATGCCATCAGCTTACAAGCTTCATCCTTTTACAAGAATTCACCTTAGAAAGAGATAAAAGAAATAGAATCATCCTTTCCTGCAGAAACCATTCAGCCACATTAAAATAGTGCATGACCGTAATACACTAGCACAGAAAAAATTCTCATCAGATGATGTTCAGAGTAAATGATGGACGGGAAAGTAAAAAGACTGAAATAACACAATACTTGCAAAAACAATGCTATTTAAAGCATGTTCAACACAAAGGGAGCTTAGAAAAATGGTTCATTACTGGTTAGGTTTTTACTATTGCAAGTGTAATGAGTTTCAGCCCAACACAACGCGTACTTTTATCACCTCACATTTGGAATTAAATAGAAAATTGCTAGGACAGCTCTAACATCCAACTCCCATTTTACGTTTGAAGGGACTGTTCAGTTTCTTTTGTTGGATTGTGAAAACATACATAAAAAAGGTCTTTAAAAGTTTCGAGGCTTTGATTTGCCAAACCAGCAAGCCAGCAGCTATACAAACTTACATGATCTCCTGGGTGCAGCTACCATGACTATTCATGAAGATGTTTTATATGCTATTATTTTTAATGACCTACCTAACTTCCTCTGTTCCTCAGTACAGCAAAAGACCAAAATAAATTAAAAAAAGGAAAGTACATCAACACTAAGAATTTTATCGCTACTTTGTAAAGAAAGAAGTCTCACATTCTCTCATTTTCCTGTACTGGGAACACTCTCTTATAACAAGGGAGACTATGGATCATATTCTGCTCCAATGCAATATTTCGGAGAAGGCTATGATTCATTCTCTATTATAAAATAATAATACCTAAGGAGCCCAAGGCAATTAACTTATTTGCCATGTACAAGAATTATTTCTATGCCCCTGAAGTGCAATGGGCTTTTGAACGTAAGGCAGCAGCTGTTTAATCTTGAACAACAACCACATTTAAAAAATGAAACCATATGAGAAATAAGCATGTTTAATCAAAACCGGAGGGCATACGTAGTCAGAACATATTCGAAGAGAATTTTGGCAAAGAGATGGGGAGGGTGGATGGAGGGGAGAAGAAAAACTAGCAAAGAACGGTCTATTACACCTATATGTATTATATCCACAAAGCGTTTTGGCATGTGGGTCATGATGCCAGCTTGGTAGCTCTTCCCTTCTCCCCTTTCCAATGTGAGGAGGATTATGGAGTGAGAACATGCATGTGGTGTGGGAATGCTCAACGTCTATGGCAGATTTCCAGGCGAATGAAGATGACAGGGACGTGAAGTAGCTGGGTCTGATGCCAGCTGCAGGATAGCTTTCAGCATAGCACACATCTTGCTTGTGGTCATGGTGATGCCACAAGAGCAAGACTTTAACATACAGGGGTCTAGTTTACCTTTTACGTGGTTTACCTACCACGCTTGCTGAACCCTCCCACTGCATGTACATGAAGAGCCTTGGATTAGGCACCAAGATTACCCCAGCAAAGGAGGTGAAGGAACCAGATCCACCTCACCCCTGGCTGCCTCCTCTACCTGCTGCTAACATCTGCTGCTAAGTAGACAGAGGCAGCCACTCTCAGCCTAAACTTTTGGGGACATCAGCAGCAAAAGGGGCAGCAGAGAGGCACAGAGCACCATTTCCCACATTGGAATCCAGGACTTACATCCCTCTCTCACAGCCTTCACTACAGCTTTCCAGGGTAAACTCCTCTCTGTCAGACACACAGGAGCAGTTTGAGTTGCATGAGAATTTCTTAGAGGAGCAGTGTTTTATTAGATAATGACAGCTCTGAATGTTACACACACACACACACACAAAATTCACATGGTTTCTGTAGTCCTCAACCGCACTCATTTTTGAAGAGACCTATTTTCCTGCCACCTCACCTCCCAGTTTGTTCTGATCCCCCCAGACTTTCAAAAGTTAACAGCTCTAGGCACTAAAACAAAATTTGAAATGACAAAATCTCCTCTCAATGAGAAGCTCCAGGATCTAAGCCGGCCTTACGGCTATTATCTTTAAGGGTATATTTTGTCACATTAGTAAAACAGGTTTGATACATACAAAAAAAACTCCTGCTTCCTTCTGGTTTGTGATCCTCCCTAGTGAATGGGGCACTTCCAACAGTTCAAGATTTACTGCCTAAAGGATGTTTTTTGCTTTAGAGTTCAATGAAATTTTTAGTATCCAAATCACCTCAAAGCCCTTATCTGGCTACATACACCTGGATGATAGATGCCTCTTGTTATTGACTCCCTGGGAGATCAGAAGTCCCTAGAGGATGGACTCTCGTTAGTGGCTCTGTTCCCAGGGCTGTTTTAAATCAATGATTTGAATTCTCAAGCTACAATAGACTTTGGTACACTACTGTAATGAAGAGCAAAAGGGAAGAGCTCTCTCTGCTGAAATTTTGCAGAATTAGGTCATTATATATTAGCACAAGACACAAGAATAATTCTCCTAGAATGATTAAAGATAGAAGAGATTTTTACAAGGAACAAATATGGCTTTATGTTTTAAATATAAATTATTATTATTTATTTATGTTCTGAGTAGGAGAAATGTGTTCTATAATTTTTTAAGAATTTTAAGGAGAATGCTATTTGGATATATTTGGATGTATATCGGAATAGCCATTTTAAAACTGAAAAGGCATGAACTTAAATGATAATACTACTTCATATCTAAAAACTTGATGTCTGAGGTGCTGAATTATGAAGATTATTTAATGGTTTTAATTTTCAAAGCTAGTTCTAGACGTAACAGCAGTAGAAAACTCCTGCGGATGGACAAGATTTAGTATCCTCCTTTTCAGATGGTAAGCTGAGGCATGGAGTGACTTAATGTCTTGCTTAGGTTACACTGTGAGTTCATGTGAGAAGTTAGATTAAAACCCAGTTGCTCCTGACTTCTGTGCTCAAACCATTAGCTTTCATTGAATATGCTACAGAAATCAGGTCCCTGCGTGACCTGAATTTCAGGACATGCTGCAGCCCTTGCTGTGAACTACAGTGGGACACTAATTCCTCTCCTGCAACTACTGCAGCTCACTACTGAGAAGTAATGAGGAATAGGGGATGTGCTGGAAGAACATAGGAGACATCACAAGGCTGGAAGTTTGATGAGGTTTATAGACTTCACCCAGATCTCAGGTCCAGCATTACAGTTTTGAAAAGTCTGTGTGTGACATACAGAGGCCTCATCTGTAGAAAACACATGAAATGCTTTTCTTTTGAGATCAAATAAATGATATACTACAGTCTCCAAGAGATTGTGTACGTATTAAATTTCCTACAAGATCTTGATGGAGGCCCATCTCTGCAGGCAACTTTGTCTGATATTCAGTTCCAAAATACCAGCTTTAATTTGTGTTGTGTAGGCCTAGGCTAACAAGTAGAGGTGCTGATCATGTGTTAACAGCACACCACAGTAGCCAAGTCACAACATTTGGAGTCAATCCAAAATTCAAATTCTCTTGAACTATGCAAAGAATGTTGTATATTTTTTCAATGTGTCAAGATTTATGCCCTTCTGTATGACACAATTGCACAAATAAATGGGTACTAAACTTTGTTTGAAGTGTATTCTTTCAAATTGAAAGCACTTTTTTGCTTGGCATTTCTAATTTATATTTGCCAAAGCTTTTTGTTTTCTGCTTTTGAGGGCAAGCTCTCCTGCGATAGAGCAAAGTTACATGAATGGGTGGAGTTTGTTCAATTAAACAATGAGGATTTCATAAAAGACGAAAAGCACGTTTCTAAAGTCAGCGTCGAGGAATTCCATTAAACTTCCCATGCTAGGACCTGGGGATGAGAAGGATCGATGCCCTGCTATAACTGTGAAGGGGCAAGACAGTAAAGCCCCGGGAGTCCAGCTGCTCATAATTGCTAAACATAGAATAAAAAAAGAAGTCAGGCACAAATGTTTTTGTGGATGAGTGCAATGCATTTACTGTACTATTTGTGGGATTCACAAGCATTCAAGGGACTCCTAATTTATGTGTAAAATTGAGTGCAGCTCAGAACTTTAGCATGACTACTGCTCATGGGAAAAAAAAATCTGTGCCCTCTAAGTGGGAGATTTTTTTTAATTCAGAACATGCTATTCGTTTCATGTGTTACTTTTTGAGAAGTGACTGCATTTTCATCAATTTTAGCACAATGAGATACAGAGGTTGACTGATACACTTCAGAACTACAATAATAGTAATATTACAATTATTCTTGTCCTAAAGATTTCAGTCACCAAATAATGGAGCAACTGAAAGGACCAATTAGGCACTACAATTAATCACCAGTAAATGGTCCACGTGGAAGGTTTGCTATCTGCTCAAAAGGCTACAGTTAGTTCAGTCTCTTTAGTGAATACTAATAAATTACCATTATATTAACAGAAAACAGAATCAAACAACTTTAAATAAATCCCTTACTTCAGGGGGAACATAGTATTGTTGGGTTTTGGCATTTTCTTTTTAATAGCAGTGCCTTGAACTAAAAGAAGAATAATGGAAGAAACATATTAGTTAATCTGTTTCCTCTAACTGTCTTCTCTTGATAAGCAGGAAAATTAGAAATACCTGAATAATGACAGTTCTCACCAAACTATATGAAACTGATGTCTGAGTGCTTTGCAAATTGCAGGAAAAAAACTGCAACATGTAAGTGCTTCAAAGTTAAGTAAATTATACCTTTTAACTGCCTCCCTTTACCCACCAACTTTCCAAGAGGATAAATATGTTAAGCTGATACTCCCATCTCTGACACTGGATGCATTCAGGAAAAATTTTGAGAGCCCATGGTGCTTTAAATATTGCTTCTGATCATTGCGACAAACACAAACTGGTCTCCCTGGAGACAAGATACAGTGAGAGGGTGACATTCTTATGAACCACACGGAAAATTCTCCCATATAACGGACCTTTGGATCTTTTCCAGCAATTTTGCTTTTGTTTTTTCTGACCTAAGCTTTCATCCTGCTCCTGCATTTTGCCAGTGTTCAAAGGGAGAAAAAGATCAGCTGGAGCCACTGGCATTAAACAAGGATCTCAGAACAAAGAGTGTGCACCAATCCAACGACCAAGTCCAAACCGCATTAGAATAATCCCAGTGCAGTGAAGACTGAGATGGTACTTAGTGGAGTGGGAATCTGCAGGTAACAGCAATGTTGTAAGAGCATGAACATAAAGAACAATTTTGTCTGGAAAATGGTTTCTATGCACGGGATAAGACTGATCCAGTCATGCAGGGCATATTTGTGTTGCTCAGATAATGATGTCCTGAAATATCTATGTCTTGGTCACTTGACTCTCATCTGAAACTACTTCCCATAGTAAAGATGTTTAAGCTGTGTTTAAACTTGATGTTAGACCTCTGCCAAGACAGTAGCGTGCAGTACGTCCTCCTCCATCACGCTAACACTGTGATGCCCACTCAGTGAACTCAGAGACATATAGTGCTGCTGAGACACTGTCTCTGGCTCCCGGCTCACTTCCAGACTCTCTCTCTTACGGGCTTCATGGGAATAGAACAGGACTGTGGCTTGGATGAAACGGCCCTATCTCTGAGTCTCCTCTTAAGACCTGCCAGAAATAGGCAGATACTTGAATGTGCACACATGTGTTAGTGAGCTGTAGATCCAATGCTTCCAGGTAGTGTCTGTGCGATAGGTCTGGTCACATGGTGGAGAAGGGAGCAACTTAGAGATAGAATAAGCTGAGTGGTCTGCTAAGCTGGAAAAGCTGGAGCTACACGAGTTGAAGGTCTACAGGAAGGTAGCTTGAGAACTAGTACTGCCGCAGGGAAGAAAAGTCTAGCTACAGCTGCAACTTTTCTATTGTAATTCTGCTCTATCATAATCTTCCTTTTTATTCTGCTTTATTATTAAAAAAAGAAAATTCATAGAAAGTTAAAGGGTTAAATTAACATATTTCTTACCAGAAGACTCTTTCCTAGAATGTTTTCCACAAGCTTGAAGTCATTACGTAATTGTTTGCTCTTGGAACTGGTACCTTCCATCTCCTCATCAGCGTAAAAGCGGAAAAATAAGGATTCATCCTTAAATTCACTTTTCTCCAGGACTGGAAATAATGTATATGCAATGCACACATGCATTTACACAGAGAGAGAAAGAGAGAAACAAAACAAGAAAGTTAAAAGAAAATGCTAAATATTTGCCCTGCTGTTGCAGAACAAAGACCAGATATATCCCATTCAACCAGCTATTCAGCTCTGTATTTTTAAGGTACTGCAGTATTTTAGGCGCACACTTTTCTTCATGTTGCATAATGACTCATGATATGATGTTTGACCTCCCTGGCATGTAGAATGCATAAAAATGTGAAAGATCCTCTTGGAAGAGGATACACAGTATGTTATACCTCTCCACAAAATAAAAAGCATATGGTAAGACTAGAGGGGTAAAAGATTGATTAAAGGAAAGAGAAACGGCTAAATAGACTAACATCTTTCAACCTGAAAAGGAATCACCTGAGAGGGAAATAAGATCTATAAAATTCTGGAAGCAAGGCAAAGTTGTTTAATATGTTTTCAAACACTAGAACTGGGGGCATCAAATGAAACCAGCAAGCGACAATTTTGAAACTGGAGGAATTGCTTCTCCATTCAACATGTACTTAAGCTGTGGAACTCCTTGCCATAGGATGCTGTGAAGGCCAACATTTTCCTCCAAAAGAGAACAAATTCTTTAAAGAAAATTGACTATTCTTACATTCTTATCATCAAGCACTATGCAGATTCCCTATTATAATAGGCTATTCTTAAAAGCCACTATTCAAAACATGTATAGCAAATGTTATTTATGACTAGAATTGGCTGATTCATTGGACAAATGTTATTTTACTTTTAGGGGTCTGTATGCCTGATTTGAAACTGATATGGATGTGGTTTGTTTACTTCTCAGCTTAGCAGCAGCATCAGTGGGGATGATGTTTAGCTCAGCAATTTGGCAGTTAGGATTTGGAAGCTCCACGGCTTCAGTGCTGAGGCTCATGCTTGTTGTTCGAGTGGCAGGAACTAGACTAGGGATCTAGTATCCTCTTTCCTCTTTTCCAGTGCCCAGCCTAGCATTAGAGGATTCAGCCTCATGTACCTGAGACTATTTGGGTGACGTTTCAGGAGAGCACTTGGCTTGTGCATTGGTCTGGTGGCACAGATACAAATGCAGTGAAAAACATTCCTCTTCTAGTTTGTCCAGTCACTGCAGAGCTCATCATAGTTGTGAGCAAGCAGATCCACTTGGGCAGGTACTAGCTCAGATATTTTGGGTAAGTTCTAAGACTGCTTTTTAGATGGACCTGCTTGGATGTCTGCAGTTGTTCGCGTGTCAGCATATATGGCACAGCCTATAGAAAAGGGATTTTCACACACTGTCAGTTAATCTGACTGAAGTAAGAGCTCCTTTAATTGGGTACAGGAAGGGATATTGAGGCATTACCGTGATGCATGAAGCCGTTATTGCAGAGTCCAACGCCCAGTGCGACAGCTTCCTCCCGCGTCTGACAGTCTCCCTAGAAACAGGAGGATAAATACTACACCTCAAACTACTTCCTCAACTAAATTATTTCCCCTCCCCACAACATGGCTAGTGGCTCTGAAATTAGTAGGATGCTCTTTGTAGGGAACAATAGCAACCACCTAAAATAGCGCCCCCCCCCCCCAACTCAATCCCATGCATTCATATATATACACATATGTGTGTCTGTGTGTGTATACATATACATACATATACATACACATCTAAATATATAAACATCTTTTCCCTCCTTCAGGAACGGGGAGGACAAAACCAGCATCCTGGAAAGCAGCTGTTTAACCCACAAAGAGACATAATATTTTCTCAATGTAAAGACTTTTTATTTGCAATCTTAGTGTCTGACTTTAGGACCCATTAATCACAGACAATAAAACTCAGGGAGAGCGGTTGAGAGATCTTATCTACATTCAACCCAGGGGAGAAAAGCCTCTGTGTAAAATCAGTGCATGTGAACTCCAAAGGTCAGGCTGATTAAAACTGCAATGGCACCCTGTTTTCTCATACAGCAGACCTACTAACAAACGATTCAGTTGCTCACCACCAGAAGCCTTCAGGGCAGCATTTCAAAATAGGTACCAAAGGTGAATTGCAAATTTACAAATATACCTGAAACAACAGCATTAAATTTTGCATCTACAAATTGGTTAAATACAAGGAATGTCCAGTTTTCTCTATGCATCCATTTATTTGCAGCTACAAGTGAAGGCTTTTACAAATGTGTTGGCTGTATTTTTTAGGCAAACAGATGAATTCTGAATAGCACCGGCAAAAATCAACAGGAATCCCCCATCTTACTCAGATGAAAGATATTGCTGATCAGTGGTCACTGGCTATAATGCAAGATTATAGGCTTCTCAGTCCCCCAAGGGATGCAGCAGAACCTAGGATCTACCATCTCACTAAGAGTAGCTGCTCAGCTCACTCCAGCAGGTAGGGGAGCTGCTGCTCTGCAGAGGCGCGAGCTCAGCAACTTACTTCCCCTCCTATGGAATTAGAAGCTGTGTCCTACCAAAGAATTATAATTTCTCTTTTTTCCTCCATTTGAAGGAACATCTATCCTGAAGCTCTAGCTGCTACTGCAGAGTAGTGCACTGAGTTTGTTTTAAGAAAACCAGCTTGCAGACCAACAGCCTTCTAATCTTGGTAGTGCGACATCGGTGTAGGCTCCAAGCCCTACCTAAGAAGAAGGGTAGCAATTTGCCAAGCTGCTCAATGACAATATTGCCAAGGAGCGCTGCTAGGGTGTAAAGATGCTATTTGCATACCGAATCATACAGGATCAGCTCTTGCCAATCAGCTACATTACTGGTACTTGTTGAAGAGATAGTGACTGTGCCACTTTGTGAGAGCAATGAAAAGCTCTGACATCCACAAATTAAGACCCAAATATTGTTGTCTTGGTAGAAGAGAGACAGAGGCAGTTCTGGAGGAACTGCATGATTGTGTAATCCTCAAAGGAGATCCAAGCAAAGGGTCTTAATAAACCTGAAGTTTAACTTCTACTGTGAACTAATTTCAAAGCTTTGTAAGTCCTTCTTCATTTTCAACATTCTGCCATGTGACAATTCTCAACACTCACTTTGTGCTATTCCATGGGAAAAATGGACAGTTTATGTAAAATGGACAATTTACAGAGGCTGTGACTTAAAATCTAATTTAGTCTTTCAGTTGTAAATAAACTAGAGGGGAAATGCCTTTTGATATTATTCTCTTAACCCTTAGGAATATAGTTTGTTCCAGGCAACAAAATCTATGTGTAGGAAAGCTTTAAAACAGACTTGGCTACTCCTGGTGATGTTAACTTGGCCTTGAACATTCCCCTGGCAAAACAGCACTTTCTAAATGTATAAGATAACTAAAAATAGATCTTATCTGGTACACTAAGTACTTCTAAATGTTATGTAGCAATTTTTCAAATACAATAAAAGCAGTAACAGAAATCTTAAAGAAAGAGACCCGCTTGGATGAAACAATCTTGACAGAACGTGTCTTAGATAACCTTTTCTTATAGAAATTGCACGTTAAACTAGATACACTAGTTTTGATGTTCTAATCTGGGCTTATTCAAATATAATCACTGAAACTGAGTCAGTAGAATTATAAAAATAGTTTACAGCCAGTACCGCAGTGAAGAATCATGCCCAGTGCATTATTATTATTATTATTACTTCTTGTTGTCTAGTTCTGGTGGTAATACAATGTCTAAAGCTCTAATTGTGTTCTGAGACCCATTGTTTTGAGGTGCATAAGCCCAGCGATAGAGATGATTTCTGTCCCAGAGTGTTTACAATCTACATATAGGAGAAAAGAAAACAGGTGAACACAGATAGATATGGAACAGCTAAAGCATTACTGGTGATCACACTAGCAACCGTACCACTCTTAAATATTTTGTAGATACCATACAGGTATGGATACAGGATACCATACTACCAGGTTTGTGGACAATTACAAAGTGCTACTTCCAAGCAGGAAGGCAGCGTAAGGCAATGCAATGCACAAAGACAAGCGAGTTACTGAAACAAGAGGCCTACAGAATCTCAGCAGCACGTTTGTTCTCTGCATTCTTCCCTTTACTTTTATTCTGCTTTTCACACAATTGCCATTTAAAGTTTCTTAGACTTATGACTGAGGGTCAACTAGTCGCGTATTATTACAGATCATTTCTGGAGGTCTGAATATAAATCTTTAGTCAGGTGACAAATGGACTGGCTTTGTGGCAGTGCAATCCTTTAATGTTGCAAAACCCTTCCAGCAGCTCCTAGGATTCTGTGAAGAGCAAGAGCTCTGCCACTTGTAAGTGGGGGGCTGTTCTCCTCTTTCTTCTCAGCCTAGTGACACCAGAAGAAAGATTAGTTTGTACAATGAAGTTGAGGGTCCAGAATCAAGGCAACAAGGAAAGTCCCTTCCTTCAAGGAATACCTGTAAATATATATAGAACCGTAATAAAATGCACAGACACTTTCAGTCTAAATCCCTGGATATGGTTCAGATATTTTTCCTTTCAGACTATGACTACTGAAACCATCTCTCCATTATATTCAAAGGGACACTGAAGTAATACCCACAGCAAACTATTTATTACAGTAGTATCTGTTTTCCAGGATTTGACTTTGTGCCTATAAGACAGGCATAAGCACTTCCATCTTCTATCAGTGCTTATGCTGGTATACATTTCTATCCACTTTCATACATAAAGCTTTGTTTTAGTGTCTGATGCACAATATGGCTGAGACACAGTATGGAGGCAACTGCCATAGAATCTAGCTATTGCCAGGAGGTATGAAAAATAAAAAGAAGTCAAGCAAGCTTAGCATTAAATCTCCCAGTCTTTAGGAAATCCCTTGACCATCCTCCCTCACATGCGAAAACTTTCTACAAGTGAATATGCTCTGCTAGTATGTCACAGGACACATTAATAAACCTGACAGTCAGAGATGCTCAGCTCCTGCAGAGCCCTTATGTCTGCAGAGCCACAAGCCCACTGCACATCTGATAATAGAGCTCTTAGTGCCTATCCAGTCCTGGACTCTGAGCACATGCAACAGATGGGGGATAATAACATGTATCACATTTGAATACAACCTTTCAAATGTACACAAGATTAAGCCTCAATTAGCACCCAACTTATCTCTTGACAGACACATAAAATCTAACAATCTTCAGCTTGGAGGATAAGGAAGGGTATGAAATATAGTTAACGTCATTTCTTTCAACAAAAAAGTCCCTAGTCTTCCACACCATTCAGTCTTATGAGTATTTGTAAAGGTCAAGGAAATGAAAAACAGCTTTCTTATTATAAGGGAAGGCTGCCGCTGGCATTTATATTCTGAATTGCAAACAGAAATCAGAGACTCCATCCTTCAAGATAGTCATCCTTGTGTCATTATATCTAACAGAAACAGTAGTCCTCACTTTTTGGGCACTATCTCCAACAAAAATCATGATGCATATTGGTTGTCAGAAGCAGAAAAAAAATATATCCCATAATTTTTCTGTAGCTTGTGTAGTTATCACATCAGACACCAAACATCACCAAAATTTTCAAAAATAGATGCCTAAAGTTGAACTGACAAGCTGATAATTGATCAACTAAAAAAAAAGTGTTTTTTTTTTTTTTTTTGAAAAAGCTGAGCATTCAGCAGGTCCTACTAAAACCTGCTGTTAGGTAGTACAGCCAGAGGCACGAATGGTAGGTATAGTTCAATCTGGTATGAAACCTTCAAGCACCGCCCCATAAAAATCACTTCTTGTAAGGCTCTACAAGCATAGATTGATTTAGCCAGGTACACAGGAATTTGTCCAAGTCCTAGATCTTCATTTAAAGGTTTAACAATGTTCCCCTTTGATTAAGCACAGAAGCATTTTCCCTTGTCTTTGCATCTGTATGCATGTATACATATACACATGAAATAAATTACATATTCTCCTATATCTCCATTTCTAGCTTTAGGACAATCTGGTTCGATCCTAATGTAAAGGAAAGTTTAGTTAACAGGAAAACCAAAGGCTGGATTAACATACCAGAATGAAAAGGGAAGGAAATGAATTATCTTTTTCCAGACCTAGAACTGATCTTTTACTTTGCCATCTGAATCTTTCTACTGTGTACAGCACTATGCTTAACTATTATAATGGCTAGATTAGTCTGATTACATCTCTCCTCTTTGGCCAATGCAGACTCTTTTTTATCTCAGGTTTCCATTAATAGGACCCTATTAAACCACGGGTAACTGATATGAAAATCTCTGTGCCAATATGTTTGTCCTCCTCTATACCCTTAAGAGGAAAGCAATTGACTACTCCAGTCTCATTCAGCTGTTTAGCACAGAGTACCTTAAATCTTATCTATCTTATTAACGTAGCAAGATGTCAAATGCAATTGCAGGAAACATTTCTGAAAGACAACATTCCTGGCTGCCAGGGCCTGATTCTCATTCACACTAGCCTCCTTTTATGCCAGTCTGGCAGTACACATGGGGTTCATGTGATTGCAAATCAGACCGTCATTTAAGATGAAAACAGAATGCTGGATTGCTTTAGACTATCAAAGCTGGATTTTAAATTCCCCAAGCTACATTTTCTTCTCAGGAAATACAAGGTAAATATGAGGCAACTTCAATTTCAGGAGACAAGAGTGCAAATTAGGTATAAAACTCTAAGTTAATTCTTCAGTGAAATTGTACCAGTGAATTGTACCAGTGTTCAGTGAACTGAACATTGCTTTGAGTGTCCTCACAAAATCACAAGAAATAGGAATGGAAAAGATCTCTGAGGACATCCAGTTCCTCAGTCTAGGGCTAATGCAGGATTTTCCTTTTTATGCTGCCAAATCCTGAGTCTTCACCGAATGAACAGTAACAGAAAACATGAGTCCAAGTTTGAAGAATCTGAATACATTTACTTATGTTGCACTAACTAAATATGTTTTATTTACTTTTAAATTGAACTAAAAATCGAGCTATCTGTCAAGGACTGCTGCATCTTAAAATTTGCTTACCTGTGCAATGAGCCAATCCACTAGCTTACAGGCAGGGATTACTGATTTGTAGGTCTTTAGATGGTAGTCACGGTCTCTAAGAAAGATAATTCAGGGAACATCAGTACAAACAGGTAAAGATTTCTTTTAAATTCTAAACCTAGCTATACTCTTACGACCTACTACTGTGAAGCTGAGCATAAAAGAACAATTATAGATGGAAAAAACCTGAGACTCACAGGTATAAATAAATAAAAGAACAGGAAGCAGATATTCTATTTCTCTAGAAGAAAGGACTGTTTTTAAACTTTTCTAACAACTTGAATTAGAAAGATATTCCAGATCAATGGAGACCAGTATCATCTCAAATTTCTCTAGATATTGTTTCAAGCTATCTTCAATGAGCAGAAGATCACTAGGAATATGGCACGTTCTTTTCACAATTGTGTTGAGCTTCTTGAACTCAGTTTAGTTTACTGCCACCACGAGTCCTTTTGGAAACCTCATTCTTCTGGCTGAAAGTCATCTGCAGGTTGCGTTCATGCACTCAAATCCGGTCTACATATGCTGGCTCGCAGCCAGCCACAGTCATTAGCTTAAATAATTCTCTAATGTTTACCCCTCAACATATACACAGACAGTAACCTTACATATTGCCTCTTTGCCCTCTTTTTGTCACCCTCACTAAATTAAGCACCTTTTAGCCTATACTGCCATGAAATACTGTCCCGATTCTCTGCACCTGTTCGTATTTTATTTCCTTGAGGAGAATATCACAGAGTAGCCAGACACAAACAGTGCAATTTTCTTTCGTGTCATAAGACAATTTCAGCCTTTGTAAATTAAAAGGGAGACATGTTAGCATTTAGATCTTGTAACACAACTTACACTATCTCTCACTCAGCCCATGTTGAGAGCACCACTGTTTCTGAAAACAGGAAAAGAAACCTTGTTGTAACTTGCTGCCTTTTGCAGGTTTCTTCCATTCCTCTTCTGGACCATGAAGATAGTTGACACTTTTAGTCTCTTATAAAATATGTTTGTATCAAAATTCTTTAAAGTAAGAGGATCATGTGGCTGAAGACATTGGCTTGAATACCTTTCACCTCCAGGTTTAATCTAGCTCATAAGTGTATGAAAAGTTCTCTCCATTTAAAGGCTGTTCACTGGCCCGTGTGAAGAAAGTTGGGAGGTCTTGATCCAATTCCTAGTTCCACATCACAAAAGCCATTACTACGATTACTCTGCATTAATTGGCTCCCTCTTGTTGAGGGTCTCAGTCGAGAGGCCAAACGCTGAATCGGCCACGAAGAATTAATTCCTCTCTCACCCCTGGACGTGGTCCTTCTATTTCAAGCTTGAGGTCCACTGGCACGACTGTGGAGGGACACTTTTACAACCCCTGTAACTGTTTTATAGTCTAGATGTATCTATTTTGCAGCTCAAGAGAAGACTTTAGTCTTTGGTTCTGCCACATCAACCTCTTCCCTTTTCTCTAAAAATCTAAAATCAAACCACCATCTAAAATTCATCCTACCCATGTTTTCCTTTTACTGAGCTTCTACAGATACAAATATGTTGTGACTGGCTTTTGTAAATAAGTGCAGCAGAAATGACTGTGTGTTTGCATAACTCAGGGTGTGAGAAATTAGAAAGGGAAGCAGGACTTCCAAAACTTGAAAAAAATCAGGACAGCACTTCCAGAGATATGTATCCTCAGAACAAAAGCTTTCCTCATAGTGCTTACACACATTTTCTGGCTTGTCTTCCAGTAATGTGCTAAGCCCAGCACAAAACTGTGGGCGTTCTCTGTGCAGTTTTTCCCTCGCACACTCTTATCATGAGAAAATGTGTTTTTGAAATGTCAGAACAATAAAAGAAAGCATTAAAATGTTGAGTACTAATGAATAAGGGTTTCCAGATTCTGAGAAGCAACTCCCAGCATTTTAATAGGGATGCTGACATACAGTTAAAGCTTTGAATAAGCTAATATTTCACTGGCATTAGGATCTTGGTCCAAGGCCCAGTCTGTCACTGCTTGTATTTAAATGCTTGTCAGAACGAACATTTTAACATTAATTCACTGACTTTTCCCCTGCATTTCAATCTGTTCCTAACAAGAGTGGAGCAGCAACCATCGAGTGTTATTCAGGTTCATGAACTGCTGGTGAATAGTCAAATATGGATGTAGGAATCCTTGAACTTCCCATAGAACCTCACTGCCTCACACAGATTAATGGAAAATGATGTTCTTCACAGGCTCTAGACCTTACATACTGAAGTACTGTCTATCACACATGTATGTGGGGAGAAAGTTCTCCCACCCTCACAACTTTCACCTGAAGTAGCTGAGACACATATTCAGAACCTTCTCTACATCTAACACTACTCTATGCATTTTACTTTTTACGTATCATTCTCCAAAGTAGCATGCTTTGTTGCTGGTGGTGGTGGTATACATCCTCTTTTCCTCAAAGTACATACATGTCAGAGTTTATTTAAGGAAAATTTTAAAGGCAACTGCTACATGGAAACTCCCAAGTTTCCAGGGAAGAGAACCAAGCAAGGTTTTGTTCCAAGGATGTAAACAAAATAAGCAACTTGTGTACTTTATGATTCTTCCAAATCCTACTGGCACATACACCAGGTATTCAAAGCAGTTTTCCTGCTATTTTGGAAGGGAAGTTGCACCATGAAAAGTAGGTTTTATCAGCCTTGCTCGTATGATTGCAGGGATCAGCAATCTGAAGATGCCAACTAAAGTAGTGGTCCAAAAACACAGTAGAAAGTAATAGGCTTTGCACAACAGACAGTCACCTAAAAGCTGGCTCCTGAAACACATTAGGCTTGCCAAAGGCAAAAAGACATGATGAGAAGACATGAAGGGATGAGAGCCTAGGATGAAAGTGTGAGCACCAGTTCTCTCGCAGGGAGATGGAAGGAAGGGCAAGTAGGAAAAACAATAGCTGGAAGAAGAGCCTGAACATACTGAAAATATAAGCCTATCCAGAAGGATCCTAAAACTTCTGAGAGTTTGCAATTTTTCATTGATCACATACAGTTTAGATTCAGGCTGTTATTAACCTATTAATCCTGATATAGAATCTCAGCTGGAGAATCTTCCTACTACAAAAATAGCACATTGATAAAATACCACAAAACAGGCTTGTGATAGTTATTTTCTCCTTCAACCCCTAAAGCACAAGTCTACATCCCTCTTAGTCTGTGAATACCCTGAGGTTAGAGACATTTTTTCAGCTTCATTTACGATTTTTCCTACTTTGCATGTGAATTACTGTCTTTAGGGATGAAATGTACATGTGAAAAAAAAAACAAAACCAAAAAAACCAAAAACAAAAAAAAATCCCCAAACACACAAACAAAACCCAGAGATCTAATTAGGCAGATTTATGATTGATGAACTGTATCTATCTTCATAGCTACTTTTAGCATGACAAAGGCATCTCTTTCTCAGTGAAACATGTGTTATACAACTCGGTGGTTGTACAACAAGAGGTCAGCTTTGTTCAATTTGGGACTCTAACCATGCCCACCCGAGGTTTTTCCTTCATCAGCAGTTTTTCTATATGTTAAAATGAAGCGCTGCTGAGAGAAAATGCCCAATTCTCAACCATGGGTAGCTAAACAGAACACGCATGTGGTTCAGGCTGGTTTCCATCATAGGCCAGGAATATTTATCTCATGTAACAGTAAGGCAATAACATCTAAAAATCATCTCCTGGCATCTGGGAAGACCGTTAACTAGTGCCTGCAGATTAGCTCTATTCTTTAGCATTTATTTATATAGAGCCAAGTTCTGAAGATTCCATCCAAAATATTCAGGTTTTTTTCAAACTATAACTTCAGGTTTTGTTCCACTTCAGACTGGTTTTTGTTTGTTTAGGGTTCTTTGCATGAAAGAATCCTAACATCACGCTAGCATCTGTTTGCATCACTTTAACAAATGTCTACATCGCTTTAGCATCTGCCCGCATTTTCCATAGCCCAAATAATACAGCAGCTACAGTTGCACTACACAATCTGCCTTGCATCAGTAGTCACTTATTAATTGCACCCACTTTAACGCACAGAAAATGTCAGGGTAAACAAATAAACCTGTGCCATGCTAACCACTCTTGTGGACTGACAGAAGAAGCAAACTCCAGGAAGACCGTGAAACTAGCCTTTCACGCTCCCAGAATCCAGTTCCAGCATCCTCCAGCAGAAGTACAACTACAGATCCAAACAGTGGAGATAGCAGGGTAGTAGAAGCCAAGAAAATGTTTATTACAGGTTGCAAGGAGAAAGAAGAAAGATTTCAATAGGAACATGTCACAAAGCCAGATACTATACACTAGGGGATCACGAAGATGAACTTACTTTACCACTGGAGTATATAGGCAGTGTAGTCGGCAGTAAAGCCTCACACCCTAAAGAAGGAAAGATACATGGTATTATCAGCTTTTTCTTTTCAAAAAAAGACTGACTAGCTGAAGCTAGCAAAACCTGGACAGTGATGTCTCTGCCCACCCAGAAGTATGTACCAATTAACTTCAGAAATTGAAAAAGCTGTTCTTTAAACTCTTCCCTTCCAACATTTTCTCTGTTCATGCTTTCTCACAATGAATCTATGAACTGATGTGCATAAGGAGTCCAATTTATTATACAGTACAGGGGCAGATATGGGATCAACAGAACTCTTTTGACAAATATAATTATGAGGAACTGCAGTCAAATATTGATCTCTCCTATCTCCCTAAACCATCATGACCAGATCTTCAACAGACATACTGTGTTATGGTCAACTGCCGTCTTTTAAGACCCTTTGTTACTATATTAGGATTGCAATCAGCAATCCTGTGCGTGCTCACAAGTGCATTGATATTTATTGCTAAGCTTTGCTTCCTCTCCCTAGAGTGAGTGTCTCCTGCGGCATTAGGATGGATAGCTTAATACAACAGAAGTAAAAAGCAGTAGGCGTCTCCTATACAACAGGTCACTGACATTCAGAGGTAGAGCAAACTCTTTTCACTGTTATTATGCAAATTACTAGATTCCAATTCGGAATGATAACACAAACCTTGGACATGATGTCTTCCAATTCACTTCTTGGCTTGTAGGTTCCATCGTCATAGCGAAATCTGTACATCACTTGCTCATTCTTAAACTGGTGCTTATCTGAAACTAAAACATCAGTACAGTAATCAAAATCAATCTTTTCTCCCCTGGCATGCCTTCAGAGGCCATGCACTTGGCCATACACATTTCTATATCTAAAGATCAGCTGATTTCTGAAGAAAGGACTCAGCTTCTCGAATTTCCCCATGTTGTGCATGTATATGCATATGTGCATTTCTGAATGGCTCCACCAACATGAACAGCTTTCTGAATAGTACATCTGCAGTAAACACTGACACTTCTTCCTTTTATACCGATTCAGTTTATTTACATCTTTGGAAGCAGCCCTAGTGAAGGTAATCAGGATCTTCTGAATTTTTTCAATGTGTTTTGAACCAAATGCCTACAAAATCCCACACCAATTATCTCAGCACTAATGCCATTTTCACAGTTGCCACAGCTCTGCAATTCCATAAGTGCAGAGCATTGTGGTGGGATGAACTGCAGCTGTTAGAGGTATTCTACCAGGCTTCTTGTATTTAATGCTGAGTTCCTTCTAACAACTAAACAGTACTTTCAAGAGACTGCTTCTTTTTTGCCAGAGGAGCTGTTCTCCAGTAGTGCAGCTAAAATCTTATTCGGTCATGCTATATACCGATAGGCTTTAAAGGCAAGTGCACAGGAGAGCATTCAGTGTGATAAGCAACACCTTCAAAATGAGCATAGGCCCAAATCAGAAACTTGAATTCATATCCAGTTGCATATAGATTTATCCAATGGGCCAAACCATCAGAAGAGGGTTGAAGTCCATATGCAATTATATACAGGTTTATCCTTTCTCTATTCAAAAGTAAACCATTTCAAGAGAACATGTAGGAGGGAAACCTTCATACCGAAGGCAATAATCTACTAATTGGTAGAAATTATCTGTTTCAGGTTTCAAAATAAATGGTAATTTAAATGATAGGTGCCACTGAGTGTCCAAATTTGAAGTAAGCAATAAAGTGTTCCAGATATCATCATAATACCTAGTGTAGAAATGGCATTGTCCACAGCTTAATTTAATGGAGACCAGTTTATGACTATGCTGAGAAACAAAGGAGGAGGATATCTAGAGAACAGAAGCCAAAGCAGACAGCAGATGAGGCAGGGTAGCTTAGTTATTGTAATCTTCCCTGCCTTTGCCAATGAAACAAAACAAGAGCTAGACCTTTGCGGTGGAGCGCCCTCAAACATTTTGGATGCAGTATTTTATAGTGTAGACAGAGCATTTGACGAACTGACAGAAAATACGGATTTACACTATTTAAGATGGATCTTAGCTTGAGTTTGACTAACTTGCAACAACTGGTTGCACTTGCTCACCATGTAGTCTGCCCCTTGCAGAGGAGCCAGGACAATTGTTTAGAAGGCAGAGACTAGAAATTCTGGGGACTTATCTTCATTTCATAGGACATCCTGGTCTGTGACTATAATAATGAAGATTCTTGCTTTTTGTGATATTTTCCTAAATTTCAGACAGTAAAATAAAATGTGCGTGATCAGGTGTATATCCTTTCGTCTACGGTGAAATTTGTAATCTGTGTTAGCTGTTGATGTCTTTGAGAGTCCACATGCTCTGGGTTTTGCATTTCTAAATCCAATTGAGAACGAGGCCTACAGAAAGTAACTTTCGGTCTTCCGTGTCTGGCACATAGCAGATCAGGTTCTGATCACTTCTGGTCTGTGAGACAGGTACCAGGACTTACACATCAGCAGTCCCAGATAAAGGAGCCAGAGTTAAAGGAGACACAGAGGAAATGGAGTGATAAAATGCACAGAGCTCAGCACTCTGTCAGTTGGCAATCTTCTTTGGCCCCGCTCCTCAGGCAGGCTGAGAGATCAGCAGTTTTCACCTGCCAGCAATGTCATGCCAAGTAAAAACAAAAGATAAAATAAATTGCCTAATGTAGAGTAGGGGTAAGGGCTTCATTATGGTGCACTGGTTCTATGCTCTTGCTACATTAGGAGACATGTAATGAGACACTGTTCTTGTCTAATGATTTACCAAAGTCTAAAGGAATATTTCCTTAATTAAATGCAGAGTTGGAAATACATACTAATATCTAGCAATAACTGTCATTGGAGGCAGTGATATCAGCAGCTCTAAGTAAAGGCAACATTAAAACCAAATCTTATGCATCTTTCTCAGGATGTGTGGAAGGACACAACTTTCTTTGAACTGTGAACTTGTATTTGGAGAAAAAGGGCACTGATGACACGGCTGGAGTATGAAGTTATGGCAGGGTAAAGAGCCCTGATGGAATAACAAGTCTCAGAAGAGCTTTATGCACTGACAGTGCAAGTGCACGCATTCAGGATGTAGGCAAGCAAGGGTGTGCATGCAAAAGAGCATTTTTTGTGCAAAAGGCGACACCTGTGCATAGGGGCCAGAGTGTTTAAGTTCTCCAAAGCCACAGTTATGGACAACTGCTTAGAAGAGTTCAATGTATTTGAGCTGACACATAAAAAGTCTGACATGAATGTGACATGATATGCTTCACCCTATATGCGTTTGCAAAACGGGACTCTTATTTTGTTATGTAAATAAGTTCTTTCCAGTTTCTGGCACTTCAAAGTCTGAATGTGCTTGAGAGTATGTCTTGGTACTTTGAGGTGGAAGTATATGTGCATGAAGGAGTATAGAGCTGCTAATATTAGCAGCAAGAATGATTTCTCTGTTTTAGTTAAGCAAAGATAACAGACGGTATTCCTTAACAGTGTTATTGTCACCTGGAAGACAAGTTTAGGGAGCTGTGATGCCAAGAGATTAAAGCAATACTAGCCTAATTAAATGGTTCCCATATTTAAATCAGTTTCCAAGAGATTGTATGGAAATGTAGATCACTGGTGACTTAAAACCTATAAGCCTTATTGCTTTGATGTGCATTTTGCAACTAAACTCACCTGAAAGTTGAAATTAGGGCATCTGCTGTTTAAATAGCAGATAACTCTGTTGCTCTGTCTGCACTGTGAAATGCGAAAATAGTAGGAAACAGCAGGAGAAGCCTAGATTTGAAGGACAGAAAAAGCAGGAGAAAGTCCCTGTTTCAGTGGAAATACTAGCAGCACAGAAGATTTTCAAACAGGCATCTTGTGCTGCTTTGCTCACACAACACCCTTGCATGCACTATCCTATGCTTCTAAAATATCCACCACAAAACTTCAAGGACTTCAAGGTCATCTGCTCAGTTTGATGAATAAATATGATAGATTACTGTTTTAAAGAGAGACACGCTTCCAAAATGATCTGGAAATAACAAATCCTGTAACAAATTCTCCATCATCTCTTCTCTTTATCATGAGTAACCTCTCTAGCGAGATTGACTTGGTATCTGAAGCTCCTCACTCTGTTCAGGCCTATGCCCTATTCTAAAACAGCACTGCTCAACTATCCTCTTTATTGCTGATGTTTCATATAGAAAGCTATACTTACTGATCACAAGATTTTCAGTCACACAAAGGGCAAATGAATGTACACCTGTCTGTGTGCACGGTTACAAAGATGTTGCAGGGAAATCAAGCTACTGCAGGCACAAACGCTTCAGAATACTCAGTGAGTCCCCTTTTGATGACATAAATATGCTCATTCCCATTAATACCAAAGTCATTAAATACTTTGAAGATCTGATGGGTACGGCACAGAAAAGCATTTGAACATCATGTGAACACCTGCAGTCACCTTTCCACCCTCATTTCCAGGGCTCTACTGTAACCTGGCATCTCTTTATGACATGGAGCACTCACCATGATGAATAATTCCATTTTCCAGTAGCGCCTGTCCCAGGTTGACCCCTTCCTCTGGTTTGCTTATCTCTCCAATCTCTGTGAGCCAGGATACAAACTCACTGCAAAGGGAAGCAAAATAGAAGCAATTAGCTTTTCCTCCCTGAAGGTAAGCAGCTACATGCCTCTGCAAGTCATCAGCCACCCACAGGTGACTCTCTCTTTGAAGCAAGTGCAAAAACTGTTGTAAATGATTACACCTCTTCTAGGTGGATACATTCCGGAGAAATATAACCTACGTTTCTGGAGGAAACACTCTGCAGAAGAATCAGGTCTCCTATCTGTGACTTTCCCACTATTTCTTTTAGTTCATCATAATTAGCCGGTACACGAAGGGAAAGAAAGATTAGGTGGACCTACAAAGGTGCTGCAGATACTTATTTTAATGAGCAATCCAGACATCCAAAAGGGAGCAGGAAAGCAAGATTAGCTGATGCCCTTGAAAGCAATGAGTTGCACATAAAAGGAAACAGCTACTTCCATCCAAACTATTCCTCCAAGCAGTGTCCATGGCCTGAATTAATTACATATGTTTGTCTTCCTTCACTGGGTCTGATTTTATTTCCTCAGTGGTGTAATTGCATTGGCTTTAATAGAATCACACTAGGACTTATGACAGAAGATTCAGACTCACTGAATTCAAGCACAGAACAGTACACGTCCCACTGACAGGTTAATTTAAGGTAAATTACTGGAGCTGGTGCTTGGCAGATACATGAATGATGCTTCTAGTTTATAGCCAAAGGTGCTAAGTCGGTCCTCATGTGCAGCACAAACCAAAACCTCTCTCTGGTGAGGGGCAGTGCTCCACATACGGCAGAAAAAAAAAGCCTAAAATAGATAGACATGTAGGATGTTACTCAATTAGAAACAGCAGGTACAGAAAAAAGGATATTACAGGCCTGATGAATGCAGCACTGCCAAAGCTGTAGAGGGACCCAATTTGTGTGCCAGGTTAATTAGGGATTATACTAGAAATGTGTTAAATTCATAGAAAAGAACAAAAGGAATATTTGAAAGTAGAAAAACATATGGGAAATCTGAGTTCAATAAACCACTTGGGTACTGGCCAATGTTGCTGCTGATCAAAACCAGCACCCATGCCTCCAGTTGTGGGCTCTGAATGTAGTATTTTTAGCCTCTTTATGTTTATCAGAGCTGACTCATCTAAGCTGTAGGTAGCATTTGTATTTTGTCTTTAACGTAACAACAACAACCACCACCTTCAGTGCGCTGAGGGGCTAACTCTGTAACTGTCAGAGCAACGCAAAAGCAGCAGAACCTATTCAACTATGCCAGAGGAATCCCATGGAAACTAGCAGTTTTGTAAAACTCCTAAAACCAGAGTACTGTAGTGATGAGTCAGGCTTGGTACCTCCTAAGAAAAGCTCATTCTCAATTTCCCAGTAATTCTGAACATTTTTAGAATCATTTTAAGGCTAAAACATAGAACATAAACTAAAGAGGGAGGAGAAGAAAGACTGATCCTCCATTCCCATTAATGGTAATACAAGATCTGCTACCTAATGCTCTGTGGAGTGCCCTATCCCGGATATGCTGACCAATGACTGTAATCGTGTTAAGTGCCCAGGGTAGATTTGCAGTTGCTATAAACTTTTCATTGAGTGTAATGGGTCTATACCAGTTTACAGCACTTAAATCACTGCCAAAATCTAACTGGAGCATTACCGCTCTTTTAGCCTTCCTGCTTCTTATATGTCTAACTGCATCCCCAGAGTTTTTTGGGATCCTCAGTGTAAAGCAGTCTCCTTACAGTTTGAAACTCAGACTTAAAAAAGGAAAATAACTGAATGCAACTCCCAAGTCCCTGAAGCTTCAGAACTATAGGATTGTTTTTTTTTAAGAGCTACTTTACGATTTATGTGGCATCTGATTCATGAGCAAAATTAGTAAGCGTTTGCTCTGAAGGCTTTTTTTAGGCATATGCTGGACTGTTGCCAAAAACATCTATCTGAAGGCAATTACAGTACTCTACAGACAATCAAAAAGTCTATAGGGTGATGGAATTTTCACTTCATTCATTTGTTGGGCACGGGGATTTGCATGGATTCAGTTACCGCAAATGCACACAGAGGTCGAGTAACTGCATGGACAAACGGCCAGCAAGCCAATCACAGTATTTGGATACTTTCTTTGCACAGTTGAAGTAACTCTGCAAGTACATGCAACTGAGTTTTGTTTTCAAATTGTGCTTAGAGAGTACTGCAGGCCTCCAGCATCCCATTATCTCCCACAGGGACGAGGCTCCTGCTTCCTCTGCTCAAGATTTCTTCTGGGTGGCATGGAACAGCATCAAATGCCTCAGAAAAAAAGCATCCCTTTACTGGATGGAGGAAAGAGAGAAGTGGAAACTCTGCACTCTCCAGAAGTGGAGAGAAGTGGTGGAGTTTACTGTGCTTGCCTTCTTATATATAATTTCCCTTGAATACTTTCACCTTAGCATGCAGAAGATGAAGGCAAAACTCTGCTACAGAATCACAGAAAAATTTGGTTTGGAAGGGATAATTGAAGGTCATATCTCGTGCTGAAAGTCAGACTAACTTCAAAATTAGATCAGGTTGCTCATGGCCTTGTTCAGCAGAGTTTTGAAAATCTCCAACAAAAGAGATTCCACAGCCTCTCTGGATAACTTGTTCCAGTGCCTAACCACTCTCACAGTGAAGTTTTTTCCTTATATCCAATTGGAATTTCCCTTGTTCCAACTTGTAACCATTGCCTCTTGTCCTTTCTTTGTGTCCTGTGAACAGTCAGGCTCTGCCCTCTCTATAACTGCCCATTAGGTAGCTTAAGACTGCAATTACATCCCCCTTCGCCTTCTCTTCTCCAGGATAAACAAGTCCTTCAGTCTCTCCTCACGTGGTAGACGCTCATATGGCAGACACTAACCATCTTAGTGGTCTTCTTGAGTTTATCAATATTTCTTTTGTGCAAGGGGGCCAAAACTGGATGTAGTATCCTAGAGACAGCTTCACGAGGGCTGACCAGAGGCAAATAATCACTTCCCTCGACCTGCAGGCTATATTCTTGCTAAGGGAGCCAATTACATGCTTGACCTTCATCACTGCAAGGGCATGCTGATGACGCGTGTTCAACGGGTCCACTGGGACACCCAGGTGTTTTTCTGCTGAATTACTATCCAACTAGTCAGTCTTGAGTGTATTAACTGCTCTCCCCCAGTTAGGTACCATCCTCACATTTTCTAAAGGTGCTTTTTGTCCCATTGTCCAGATTGTTGATGTTTAACACTATTTGCTCCAGAGAAGGCCACGTGTAACTGGATGCCAGTTAGACTTTGAAATGTCAGCCACTAGCCTTTGAGCCTAACAGACCAGCCAGTTTGTCATGCACTCTGTAGTTAACCCATCCAGTCCTGACCTCCCCAGTTTGGCTAGGAGCACACTATGAGAAACTGTATCAAAAGCCTTGCTAAAGTGAAGATAACTGATATCCACAGTTCTCTCATCTACATAGCCAATCATTTCTTTATATAAGGAACTCAAAGCAGGAAGAGAGGTGTTTAGAAAGTTCCGGCTAAGCCCAAGTGGAGGCTAAACCAAATACTCAGTTCTGCTCAGCACAAATTGAGTCCAAAAGTGGATAGCCAAACTTGATTAAAGTTTCATTATCATTTATCTTGTCCTGTGTAGTTTTCCAGTAAAACTGAGCTCAGTCCTCAGTGCTGCTATGCTCTCCGCTATACCTCTGAAATTAGAGATTAGAACAGCTGGGTTTCTACTCAAGAAATATGCAGGAAAATTTAACTCATCCAGGTTTGTGCAATCTGACCAGGTATGTTTGAAATGTCTCCTAAGGTTGACAGATACTCTCTATTACAAGCTCAACACAGTTCAAGATTTTGCAATCAATTTACCGTAGTGCTGAAAAGAAGCATGGAAAGCATATCATATACATATATTGGCATCAACATCCATCTTTAACACTGTATCGCTATCACATTATATTACGTATCTGAATGCCAGCACACCTGAAGAGTCCAATCAGTCAGTTTTTGAAGTCAAATTCAGTAGATAACCTTATTCCAGATATTTCCAAGTGATTCAAAGTAGTTTATGGGGGGGTTTTCTACAACCACATTTTTTTCTTGAATCACTGGATGCTATCGGAAATCCAAAGGCCAAGAGAAAAATTTTGTGGCTTTAGTGCTACTCCCAGGTGGATGCACCAGAAAACCACTAAATATACCTCAGCACTCTTATTAGTGTCTCCCTTAGGCAGGAATATCTGAAAAAATGAATAGGTCACAGCTGAAATGCATTGTTCAAGGGAAGCTCCAGGATTGATTTGAAAAGTCTGCAAATCTTGATTGAAATGCAATGACTAAGTTGCACTGGCAGCCCAGGACTGTTGAAAAGACATTAGCTGAGTTATTTTTTATGGAGAAGGCTGGCACAATAGCAAAAATAATGCTTTTTTCAGAGATAAGGATACCAGTACCTATCTCAGTCCAAGTTCAGATCCCCTTTAGCAAAGGTATGTCAAGTCCTCACTACTGCAGAGTCAGGTGGTTGCCAAGCAAACGGAGGGCAATGAACAGGACAGATTGTGGAGCATATAAGGAAAAAGATATTTTAAAAGAAAAAGGAGTAGCAGGAAATGCCATGTATGACTTGGAAATAAGCAAAATACCAGGGAATCCTCAAAGGACTTGTATATATCAGCAGTGGAAAAACATACGCTTCTGATCTGCTACTTCTTTTTGCATGGAAAGTAGGAAATACTAGATCATGCCTCCAAATCAGAGCTTAAAGATTTCCATTTGAATCCAGCACAAAACACAACCAAATCTCCAAAAGCCAAGAGGTCTCGATATAGCAGAAATACCCCAGATTGCCTTCTGTCAGGCAGAAAGGCAATGTGTCATTTCCACTCCGGGTACACACAAGGAATGCTGCATGCAACAGAGAAAAGCGGGGAGGGAAGGGAAATGAATGGACAATCTGCCTCTCAGAACTTGTTTTCCTCCCACAGCTGATCGTTTCAATTACAAACAGCTGAGGCAGAAAAGTCTTCTCAGGTCAACTTATGTGTCTCCCTGTGTGCCATGCAGGACATTTCCCTATGATAGCCCTGCTACTTAATCTCTTCTTGAATGTCTCCTATGATGATGATCTGGGCCCTCCATGGGGTCTCTTTTCAAAGCCTCATACATGTCATTCTGAAGAATTATTTTGTAATGCTTAGCTCGAGCGAAAGACTTTTCTTCCATCCAGTAAAGAAATCCCTACACTTCTAACAAATTCAGAGACTCCTGATCACTTTCAATTTTGTCTGTTGCATCGGCAAATAAACAGAAAATCTCTAAATTCAATACTGAGACTGGGACAACAGTGATGGATTTAAACATCACCTGGTAAGCATCTGCTAGTACATAAAAAAGGAGGCAGGTTAGGCCACCAACAGCCCTGAGCTTGTGGGAATATAAGTATTTTTTCTTATTCCTTTTGCCGATTTGGAACAGCTGCTATGAGCTACTCTACAAAGTAACAAGCTGTTACTGTGCAGCCCCATGCATGGTGTGAAATAAAAATTAATGATTAATTTTAATAAGCCACAACTGTAATGGGGGTTATGACCTTTCCAATTAAGCTCCATCAAAGCACATCTGATCTGCCCTCACAGTGCTGTCCCCAGAAAATCCAGAGTCCATTCTTTTAATTGGCATGAAAAGGCCTTTTCAATTCAAATGCCACTTACTTGCCAAGAAAGCACTTGGGAACAGTACTTAATTTTCTCCTCCTGTCTTTGATAAGGTTCACTTTCTTGCTCATCATCATTTGGTACAGCTTCTCTCCTTTCTCTGCAATCATGACGTACGCATCCCTCTCCATTCCCAGTTTCAAACCTGGAATACAATGCAGGAATTCCTTCAGATCCTAACATTGGATAGTGTTTGCTCAAAGTCAAAAGTTGAAGCTAAACAAAGTGCTAGACACACAAAAATTACATGACCTATTTTCCATACAAAGGGGGAACTGAATTGCTTATCGATCTAAGCACAAAACTATCACTGGTGAGTTTAGCACCTAGAAGATGTTTGCATCTTTTCTTCTCTATTGCCCATGAAAATTATCAGCTCAAGAAAAAACTACTCCAAACTTACAACCCTGTCACATCACACAAAGTAGAATGGTCTACAAAACATAGACAAGTAAGTTCCAAATAAAGAAAGACCTTCTGAAAGTGAATTGCTGTTGCAATTTCACTTCTGACCCTGAAATTACTGCCTTCATAAGACTTGTCCAAGGCAGCTAAATGCTCGACAGAGCAGATGAGTTTTTGAGTATTCCATTACCTGAAGCCAAAAATACAGAACTGCAGAAATCAAATTCACATCTTTGAATAAATCAAAAGTTGACAGGAACATTATTTTCTCATCCTTTCTTAATTAGCCTCTTTACCAACACCTCTAGGCTAAAAAATACAATTTGACAATCATATTATCCAGTTAAGGTAAGAGATACTGAATGGCTTAAGGAGTGACAGGTAATTGGATATAGAGAAATTTTCACCTCCACTTTGTATCACCTTCCCCATAGCCCACGTTAGCTGAGAGTTGCTACAGTCAGGAGGATTTTCTGAAAAGAATAGGTGTTTACGTTACAATAATTGTTATCATAACTGGCATTTTCTGACACTCTTCACTTTAGATTTGTGAAAAGACTCTGGGAAATGTGCTTCACCTAGAAATAAAGAGCAGATACTTTAGGAGGACAGCACATGAGAAAAAATTCTTTGCTGCTGTGAATGTATTGCCTCTTCTAGCCTGAACAAATCATTTTGCTTTCTGGTTATGTTACTGTAGAACCTTTCCAGGCAATAAGTGCATGTGTGTAAGTTAGAGATTGGATTTAGACAGCCTACTTTAGGTCCCAAATTGAAGTGTACTCAAATGGGGAGCTGAAACTCTGTTTTTGAACCTTTTAGGCTAAGGATGGCCTAGATCCAAGTTTCTCACTTCCCAGACAAGTGCTCTAAACACTGCTCTGCTCATGCTATCTTTTTTTTTTTTTTTCTCCTCTTTGCTGCATCTTACTGAAAAACGACCCTGGCTGCTATGCTTGGTGTTGAACACACCAATGTCTAAACACATTAAGGTGAGCTCTGATTACTCCTAACTGATAGAGCAGGAAGCAAGACTCAGCAGAGATCAGTTGTCTTAAGCACATCTCTGAATCACTATTGGGACACTTCTGAAAACCAATGTCACTGCAGCCTTCCAAAAGGGCAAGAAGGGGGAGCCAGGAAACTACAGGTCTGTCAGCCTCACCTCCATCCCTGGAAAGATGATGGAACAGCTCATCCTGGAGGTCATCACTAAGCATCTGGAGGACAAGAAGGTGATCAGGAGTAGTCAGCATGGATTCACCAAAGGGAAATCATGCTTGACCAACCTGATAGCCTTCTATGATGGAATGACTGGCTGGGTAGATGAGGGGAGAGCAGTGGATGTTGTCTGCCTGGACTTCAGGAAGGCTTTTGACACTATCTCCCATCACATCCTCGGAGGTAAACTCAGGAAGTGTGGGCTAGATGAATGGACGGTGAGGTGGCTTGAGAACTGGCTAGATGGCAGAGCTCAGAGGGTTGTGGTCAGTGGCGCAGAGTCTAGTTGCAGGCCTGTAGCTAGTGGTGACCCCAGGGGTCAGTCCTGGGTCCACTCTTGTTCAATGTATTCATCAATGACCTGGAGGAAGGGACAAAGTGC